GGTGATACACACTTTATTGTAGACAATTATGGCTTCAAGTACTGCTGTTTCCAAAGCACAGATATCCTACTACCATGAAGACATTTAGTTCATACCATCCTTCACACATATCTCACACTACGTGAATTAATATGAATGTCAAACAAATTTTTCTAAGATGTATTTAGACCTGTCACCAGGTGGTTAAGGGACTCTAACTTCATTGTCATTAGATCACAGCCGGTGGCCTCTGGAGACATGAACTTGCAAATGCCAATGCAGAAAATATTACATGATTGGTGAATCTTAAAAAGATGCATCCGAGGACATGTAGAATTGGTTCCCTTAAATATACTCTGAATTGTGTGAAGCACGTAGGGAGTCGGATGATCAGTCATCTGCATCGTCACCAGCGAAAGGATGAACCGGTATGCTTATTTCATTTTGTATATCTGTAATCCCTTGATGTCTTTCTTTGTGTTTATAATCACGTAGTGTTTATATGACGTAGATAAATGTTTCTGTGACTACTAATCATTCTTGTGGGCCCCTTATTTGCGAAAAATTTGCTAAAATGCTTACACAATTAGATAGTGACCCACAATGTTCTACAGACAAGAAGTGTAGGGATTCGGCCTTAAGCTGAAATAATTTAAGTATCTGCACTGCGTCATGAGTCTAAGTGTAAAGACAGGGTTTCCTTCTCATGGTATGTTAGCGTATATAAGAGATATTTCGTATGTATACGTACTCAGTATACCTGTGACTTATACATTCTAACACATGCATTTGAAAACAATGGGTCGCGATTGTGAATTCACAGTAGGCCTTATTGGACCAGCGGAGAAATGCGAATGATGTTAATAACTTTAACACTTTTTCAAGGCTGCAATTATCGAAATGATAATCCTGCTTTACCTAAACACCTGTTTCAACCCCATAATACAACTGATTTTTGGCCTACTTTTCCTCGTTATATATCATCCTTTCGAAATCTTGCTGCGGACAATAATTGCTGCAAACAGATTTATCACTATAGCATTATTATTATTATAAGTGGAAGCGAATGCTTCTTCTAAACACGCGACTCACTGTAAAAAATAACTGAGTGTAGTAAACTCTGTCACTATAAGTTTTAGCTAAGGTTAACACTCTGTTTCATCAAGTGGGATATCCGAGCAAGCAATATGCAATACGTTTATCAGTGGTTAAACATAAAATATAAATACAAATGTCACACAAACTCGAAGGTTTACAGGCGAAAACCAAAAAATTGGCTCAGAGAGTAGCGAAGACAGGATTCCAAGTGAACATAGAGAAGACGGAGGGGATGAAGATAACCAGCTAACAAATAGCACAATTGCCAGCACCAGTCACCATCAAAGGGAGATATTTGGCAAGATATGCCTTCGTCAACTTGAAACCAGTTCCGAAATCTCCGATCAGCATAGAAAACAAGGTTTGGATTTTCAGCACAAATGTGAAGTCAGTTCTTCTATATCGGTCAGAAACTTGCACTGCACGACACAGAAAGGATTTCCAACAGGTTACAGACTTCTGTAAACAGCTGCCTTTGCTCCGCACTGAAGACCAAATGGCTGACCAGAAAGAGTTAGCAACAAGAAACTCTAGCAATGAACAAACCAACCAAAACGAGATTGCTTAACAAATACATGAGAGAAAATTGGAGTGGATCGGGCGTACGTTGAGGAGGCCATCAAATAACATTGCGCTCCAGGCCATCACTTCAGTGGGATCTGAATGAGAAGCGACAGGTTGGTCGTCAGTGCGACAGCGACATGGAAGAGATCATGTGAGTTGGGGGAGGGGATGGGTGATTACTAGCAGTCATGGACTCAGATGAACAGAACAGCAGAGGATAGAACGAAATAGAGATGTATTGCTGATGCCCTATATTCCACTTGGAACCCAAAGGAATAATAATAATTCAAATCCAGAGCCGCTGTAGAAAAATCTCTCTCAGCTACCTACTCGGTTAGTTCTCCCAAATAAGCAACTATCTATGAAAGAAACCAAAGTTGGAAAAGACGAATATATCATTATTACTAGCAACACAAAAGCTTATCAGTTGAAACATGAAGAAATACAAATCCGTTAATTTTTTGAATTTATGTAAGTCAATATTTTAACTTGGAAGTGTAGGTCGTAAATGTCCCAAAAAATTAAGCTCAACGCACTTTCAAAAAACCAGGCATCAGTAGAATTTGTTATAGTGGATAAGAACATTACCTTTTGGATATTTTTGCTTATATCAGTTCTTCCCATTCACATTTAGCAAGAAGAAATTGTACGCAAATCTGTAGCAAAAAGAATACTTGTCATATTTTTAGGCTCCATCAATAGATACAAGTTGTGGGTATCAGCTGATCGAATGACTTACTTCCGAGTACAGCCTGCGCAAAAACAGGAAAGGTTTTTTGAAATATTTTAAACGGACTTTCCTCGGTATCTTTCAAAATCTCAGCTTGTTAGCTTTTCTGAACGAGTCAAACTGCACTACCTGGTGAGACTCAGAGATTGCGTTGTCTACTTATGTTCAGGATGACACAAATTTATTCCTGATGATTACTGCTAAGGGAAGATAAGCCGATCTTAAGAACCTCTACTTATCAACCCTCAAAAATGTAACATTCACGGTGTGTTATTTGAAGCCCTTGTAATAAAATCCTTACCAATGCGATACACATAAAGACTTGGGTTCCTCCTGCATCTGAGAACTAACTGCAGAACAATCTGAGGATATTTGGCGGTCCAGGTATTCCAGTGTGTTGCTTGGCCTGTCAGTGACTGTCATCGCAGACTGACCCAAGCTCGGTCCTGGCGAAGCTGCAGTAATCATGTCCATGAAAATCCCCTTAATGAGACTAAATGAGACCATCGATTCCCAAACTGAGACTTACCACTTCACTCAGTGGTCTGTTTTAGCACCAGTTAGATGGACAGAAGCCAATCTATTACAGTACTTTTATAGGGTTAATATTTAAGGGGATTATCAGAACCATAAGCACTTCGTGAAATAAAGTTGTGCAGGGCTATCAGTCATTTGATTAGAATGATTGAGCAACAGCCTTCATACACCATGAAGGGCCTAGGTGACACCCATTAAACTATATACCTGTTAGTCTTACCACTGCTTTAATTAGAAGAGTGGAAAGCATAATTAAGGAAGCCATAATGGCTTATCCAACATACATAATTCATCTCAAGGAAAGCCATCCCTGTCTGCAACAACTTACTATGGCAAGAGAAAGCAGTTTCACGTACAGGAATAAAACAGGAAATCTACTAACATATTCTTCGTGCTTTTCAGGGAAGAATTCGTCACTGTCTCATACCAGTGCCTCCATGAAACTGGAGATTTCGGAAACACAAGCAGCTTAGTTACTTGGACGAGAGAGTTGTTTTCTGATGGGAGGTGGAAAACAAGGATGACTTCTAAGTATTTTTTCCAGACAATGGTACAAAGGGCTGTTCGATGCAGTGCTGCACCGGACCTCCTATTGTCTCTTCTGTGTGGCTATGTCATATTTAGGCTGACCGAATACCCAGTAATTCAATAAATCAGCAACATAAAAGTTTGGATGAGGTTCAGCCGGAAGGTCATAAGCTCACACAACAAACGGAACTCACTGACCTGCTGAAGTGGTCATGAATGGGTGCAATCCAAAGAACTGGCTAATAGTGGAACTGAGTCGGTAAATAGTTCCATAGAACTGCTGCCTTCTGGCTTCATCATCATTCAACAACAACAATAGTGACAACTTTCACTATTTATGTCGATAACTGAGGCCCAAAGCATGCGGATGTTAACCCATGCTATTTGTCAACTTGCTGTATCAAGTACAGCTGTTTAGTCACGATCCATACTGAGTTAAGCACACACCAGCTCAAAAACATTCTGTAGAGGATCTGTTCATAAAAACCAACATGCATACACATTGTTAAACCAAAGAGGGCAATTAAATACATTCAAACAGTACATTGAAATTGTCAAAGACAATGAAATATCAGAGAACACAATAACTTATCTAGGCGAAACAGCATGGTTAAAGACTATAGCACGCTGACATCCATTTACAGTTTTAGCACCAAGAGATACGTGGGACTGGTCATTTTACTTCTTTACATTCTCTTCCATCTTACTCTCCTGACAGCTTTAACTACACCTTTTATTATCATTATTACTGGTATATATATATACCGGTTGACTGACTGTTGTTGCGTTTTCCTATTCTTTTTCTGTCTGTTAGTCTGAATACCTTCACTAATTATATCTATTATTATTATCTCTTTTCTATTGACGACGATACCGAAGGACCAACTGGTGAAAGGATCAACTCCATTCACAGTAGTAACAGTCTTAACACACATCATACTACAAACCACATATAATTAATCCCTGCACTACTCATTTTGGAGTCAACCAAAGCTACGGTAGTCGAGTGGCGGGACGAGCTATGCAGACGTTTACCGAAGATCAGGAACCTCTACCTCACAATCAAGAGGCGAGCGCAAAGAAATCAAATTGATTCATAATAGCTCGTATAAACGATATTGGATATTGGGACTTTTATGATGATGTATATCATATTAGCCAATCTTCACACCTCTGGTGGGGTGCATGAAAGAAAACCATGTTGCGAAACGAATACATGCACCGAATATGCGATCCCTATCATACCACAGACAGTAGATCTGGTCACGGAGTTAATAATTGTAATCAGTGGAGATGGAATTCACTTATCCCGTTTTTTTCCTTCCAACTAAATTAGGGTGACAGTTTCAAAGTCAAGAATAAACTATTTCTTCGTTTCATATAATCTCTAAATCCTGGAAAATACTCCCTGAATGAGTGGTGAATGTATCCACATTCGACTTCTTCAAGAGAAAGATAGACACAATAAACACAATGTTGACGCAGAGCACAGTTGTTTTGTCTCAGGCGAAAATATGAATATTAAAACTTTGGCTATGGATATTGGATATTGGACAACCTTGGAAGTCAATTCGTTTTTAGTACTTACTGACCTTCGTTGCAGATGGTTGACATAAGTGAGGAGCCTATGGGAACACAAAATGAAAGTAAAGAAGCTTTAAAGGAAACAATTGACTCAATAAAACAGCAGGTTAGATAACTTGTATTTCACTAAAGTGAAATAGTTAGAAAAGAATCCTTTCGATTACAATGCGCACGTTCAGCTAATTGAATTCTTACGGAAAACGGAAGATTATGAGCAAGCCAAAGCAGCAAGGGAACGTATGCATGACATATACCCACTCTCCGCAGGTAATGCTCCACAGATATATCCATTTATGTGGTTTTGCTGTGTTGCAACACAGCATGATTGGTAGTTGCAAATTTCAGTTTGGTAATATTTATGATCATAAGTATTACCGATTTTTTAAATTTTGAATACAGCTTGATTCCACACATATAACACTACACCAAAAAGTATTTTCTCAAACGCAATTCACTGACTACGTTAGTAAATATGGCACATTTAAGCTTCAAACAGTTAAGAGGTTGCGTCTGTGGCACAGCGGTTAGGACTCCCGCCGGGATTCGATCCCTAGCCGACGCACACCTGATATCAATTGGTCGGCCTGCTAAATTTGGGCTACCGATATCACATGCTGAAAATTCCATACTTGTGGACAGTACTGTCTAGAGCCAGTTCATTAACATAACAAATATGCGAATACAAATCCAAGTCAGTGAGAGTACAATGCAACAATATGTTATCAAAATGCAGTAATGAGTGATATTAATTAATAGGTTACTTGGATATGTTGTTAAAGTCCACTGCTACAAATTATTTATATAATCCACAGAAACGACTGTTGGAATCGTGTCTACTGATAGAAGCTGTGTTCCGGTTGTAGATTTGTCTTCGGATAAGGATGATAGGTTCCTGCAATAAATCCAAAGTATACAACACGGTTTGAGTCGGGTGAGTATACAGAAATGGCCAAAGAGAAGGCGGAGCTACCAACACTTGTACCGATAATACGGTGTGAAATCAAGCTATAATCAAAATTATAAAATCCCACTGAAAGGTAAATTTAGTCCCCTAACTGAATCCTTTAGAATGAACCTAACCTTTCTTGAAACTAACAGGTGACCTTGTTTAATATCGTTAGAATTCACTCAGCAGTTGTATTATGAATGCAGTGTTGTTTACTTGGTTTTACTGCCTTGCTATGACCGCGATCCAAGTACATTAGTACCTTGATGCCTATTGAATGTCTAAACTATAACTTCCTTCCCCTCATGATAATCTTCAGGAATTTTTCTCATACATATCTAAAGTTTTGGGAATATTCTTAACCTATACAGTAGGTGGAGCATAGGGTGTGCATTAAAAGGTGATACAAAGAATCGCAAGCCAGATTCTTACCCATCCCCTAAGTCAAATATACTTCCACTTTATATGTAGTGAAAGTTTTAGCGAAGAATGTAGCAACAGTCCAGTAATATGTAGTTATGTGTTATGGATTAGAATTCTACAAACATTCAGTTTCAGTAGGTGCGGAACAGTGGATTCTCGTAGCCTGTGTTAACTCTTGCAGTATATGTCTGTGCAAAGATCCAGTTTCTTTTTGAAATCTTTCACAGATGGAGCTGATACCACATGGTTGGATAAGGAGTCCCACTCTTTAATCACTTTATGTTGGTATCTAAGTTCCATCCGTATTTTGTTCGACAGCTATTTTAGCACATCTTTATAATGACATCTCAGGGGTATTCTGGAAGTAGAAAAAAAGTTGGTAAGATAAATACCCAAATCAGCCTTTGATAAACGATAAACGAAAATTCAATCACCTCTAGCTTTTCATTATGATTATGAGAAGTTTGGATATTCCCGCCACTTCTCATAAGGAAGCTGACGTATCAATAACCAACAGTTCTTGCTCTTACCTCAAAATAATTTGTTCAAATGTTTCACTTATATTTTGCATGGAAGTACTCAAATGTCATATTAAAACATTTGTAATTCTCGTTAGACATTATCCTGGTTTTCGCCTGCTGGAAAATATTCAGTGATATAGACACTCGACCAACTACGTTATACTAATCCTTTCAGAAAGTAGCTTTCCACCTTACCTTAAAAGTCATATACAAACGCTTTTATCAGCACTTCAGCCGCATGTTTTGAGGGATAAGAGTATTTCGCCATACAGCTAGATAGTGAAACAAAGTTCGAGTTGCAAATCTACTGTTAAGAAATGGGTTGTCTCAAAGAAATTCACAGTCTCATCTGTCGACATCACTAAAGATCCAGTCCTAGTTTGAACTCGTCAACTCATAAAGTCGCTTCATGGAAGCATAGATTCGCTTACATTACAAGACAAAATACCTTTATAGTGTCATCCAGCTTTCAGAAAAAATGCGAGAGGAAGATTTATGCTCTACCTGTATCACTTAAATATAATATTACTAGAACTCTCAAACAGGAATTCTATAAGAATTTAATTAGTTTTTTCGTGTGAGGCACTTTATGAAGTGTTTATTTTTAACGTGTGAATACATTGTATTGATTTTTCAGTCCGTGTAGACCTGTATGTTTGAAGCATAAGAATAAACAACCGAACAGTTCAGGGCAGACTAGACTGGGGCACACTTTTCGAACGGGGAAACCATGAGTATAATTAATGTAATACTATATATATATTTAGACAGTGCCACGGTACTCAAATTCTACTTTTACAAGTCTGAATTTTAACCAACACAAACACTTGTTTTTATTTGATGTTTCACGCTGTTTATCACCTGTTTCTTACAGCTCTTTGGTTACAATGGATTGAAGATGAGCTACGTATTGCTGCTACACGTGAAGAAAAGCGTCAAGTTGAAGTTCTTTTCAAAAAAGCGATTGATGATTACGAAGGTTAGTTTTATTTTAATGTAGAGATGTATTAAATCCAAAATTGGGCTTTTTATGTAATGAGAAGTATGTTAGTTACAATAATCTTTCTAATCAATACCCTCTAATTACACTTAGGGTTCGTTATCTATACCAGTTTCTCGAGTTTTATAAATGTCCATTATAAAACGGAGGGGTTTTCTAAAGATAGGGATAGTTTTTAATTGGAAATAGCTAAATTTTTGAGAATTAGAATAAATGTGATAGTATTGGTAAATAAAAAGATACTCATGGTTTACTACATTTTTATGTTGAGCTTCTCCTTATGACAATACCAAACTACAGCAGAATAGTGACTGATTGGTTTTTAATCCAATAACATGGAAATTTACACCAGTGTTTCAGTCCAAGTTTGTACACTTGTAAGAAACGTAAATGAAAGTAAACAAAAGAAATATAATGAAACCATAATTGACAGAAATCTGCTGGAGAGAAAGGAGGGAAGATAATTAAGTGAGAGTTAGGAGAGAATTTTTAAATCCGAGAGATGAAAAGGGTTGAATTTGTTTGAACTATCGTAAGCGATTTTGCACTAGGGTACATACAGTCTGTAATCACTTATTCTCAGCATTTTAGGACTTCAGTCATTCCAAATTTCAGACAAAATGGTCAGCGATTTTATGGTTTGATGTCGTATGTTGGTCTGACCACTTCCACACCTTCTCCAACCTAATACTACTTTAACTACCACCGATTAATCAGGAAGATAGTGACTCGGCATGCGTAGTACATTTTTTCGCTACCTTAGTAGTTGTAGCCTCACAGTCTCATCAACTGATAAGTGTCACTAAGGCAATGCTTAACTTTTCTTCTTATTCATAAACTTACACATCTGTAATTCGTAGGGTATTTTTCACAACATGTACAAATGAGGCCGTAGGAATTAACTTCATCATGCTAATTTCTTTCTAGTACAGTCGTATGGAATATTTATTTTAGCTGCTATGCATGCTACTGAATGCTTTTGGCTCGCGTATTATACCACTTTCATGCAATAAGTCTCGGATTCGGATAGTCCTCCAATTACTTCAGGTTGTTCAACTGTGTAGTATCATCACCCCTAACAGTAACTGTGGCTACATAGTCTAGAACATAAAGAACACTGGTGAATGAGGCCAAAACTCATTCATCACTGAAACCATGTGAACTCTTAATGTTTTAGCCACAGCGATAAAGTAACTTAATTCATATTGGACTTTCCCGTTGATTCATTGGATCGAGGTATTCAGCCTCTGTTGACATGTTGGCTCCTTGTGCGGATGCTTCAACGATGTCTAAGGATTTAACGTGAGGCAATTTGGTGGATGGCGACTAGCAGTGGAATCCAGGATATTCATTTCGTCCTATTTGGAACTCGTCATCTGGGTGAACCTGCATTCCGCTGTGAGTGATGGTGTTTCTACTTGGTCTTGAACGCACTACCTGTCGTATCAAACGCTAAAGCGCGTTATCTACTAGACCACTTCGGCCACAGAAGCTGTCTCTTTTGCAATGGGTGTCAATTATTATTTAATTTATTGATTGACGGGACCGAAGTGTTCGGTGTTTGAAACGATGGTTGCTAGATTCGAGCCTCAGTGGGAACACCATCAACTCTCTGGGAAATGCAAGTTCGTCCAGCTAACGAGTCCCAAATCGGACGGGATGCGCATCCTAGATTCCACTGTTAGTCACTAACCACCAAATTACAGTAGTAAAGTGTTTTTTGTTGTCACTTTTAAATTCTCCACATCTAAGTATAACTTCCGTCGCTACCCTATAGTGGTTTTTAATAGTTATTGCCGTTTCGCGATATATATATATATATATATAAGTTACTTAACAACCGCTTGTAATGCCATGCAGTTAGCAAATGAGCCACACCTATTGTGTTATGGTTAGTGATGCCATCTGGCTGTCCTAGCCTCGATAGGTGGAGCAGGATTCGAACGCTTCACCCAGAATGCTTAGACCAATGAGTCACATCTCCGCATCGTTTCGTGATAAAACACTACGGTGTTATAATGTGTGGTGAGTAATTTCACAGACAGCAGTTTTAATACCTTGTAGACTAATAAATTTATTTGTTTCGCTTAACATTTTTTTTTAGATGTCAATATTTGGTTAGAATATTGCCACTTTGTCATTTCTAATTTTGACTTCACTTCTCTAAATGGTATACGTGATGCAGAAGTTATCTTTGAGTCAGCTTTGTCGCATCAAGGACTTAATACTGCTGCAGGTTCAATGCTATGGGAAATTTATCGTGAATTCCTTACAGTTATTTGGTCTCAATTGTCAGACAAACAGGTGAAAATTGTTTTTGTTCTTTCTTTATTTAAAAATAGTTGTATATCCACTCGAAAATTTCTCTTTGCGTAAATATGTGTTTTGTCAGAAAATGAATGATTTGCATTCTTAGGCGTTTCATCAGCTTGACCAATATGGGTCTTTGATCTCAGGAGATTTCTTAAACATGTGGAGAATTTGTTGCTCATACGTAGCACTTTATTGTATAATCAGCCACAGGCAGTCTACATTCCCATATGTGGCTCAAACTAACAGTTTTGATTTCACCACTCCCAACTCCTTTTCAGACTAACAACTATATGCCAGCTAACATTGCTCAACGAGAAAGGTGATGGTTTGGCATGGGGTAGGTTGTTAGGTTGTATGTCCCGAGTGGAACACAGGACTTCAAGCTAGAGCTTTGAATTTTCAGCAGCAGTGGTGTTTTTATATCTGATGGGATTGCTAGCCCCATACCCAATCTTCCGTCTTTACCAGGCCTACTACTTACTAAGCGAGGTTTGGGAGTGCGTTGACAGGACTGAGACTGAACCCTGAATCACTTGCTTGGTTGGCTAGTATCCTACTGCTGAGTCACCGACACACCGTAGGTTGAAAGAGTTCCTAAAATTCAAGAGGTTTTTGCCGCTCATGTGCAACGTGGTCATTGTAATTATTGCTATGTGAAGTCTAGTGAATTTCATGCATTACAAAGTTAGTTGAATTCATTTCTGACCGAAATATGAGTCTTTGAGGAAAGTTTTCAAGGTTTGTGATAAAAATAGAGCTTCAAGAAGAGAAACTCGGAAACTTCAGTAAAAAAAAGTTCCCCTCATTTGACTTTATTGTCGGAAAGTGTAACTCGAGGATGATGCTTAACTGACTGGTCTACAAGACCACCGGAACTTTTAGTTAACTGATATCAGCCAGGATCGATTGTAGCGGCGCGGGTTAATTCATACCACTTCATCTTAAGTGTAATGTCACATATTTTTTGTTGATAAAGTTGTACGACTTTTGGTTGTACTGTGCTTTTTTTGTTGTCTGCCTTGTACTTGTTGCGCAAACAGGGTTTGGTAACCTGTATTGTTACTCACTAATGCTTAGGATTTTTGTTGATAATGACCGATTGGCTTTGTGGTTTGTGGCATCACGGGATAAATATAACGTCTTGATGCATAAAATACATTTAAGGTAGTGTTTTCTTACTCCTTCGCCCTCTGAGTACAATATACGGCTGCAAGCTTTTGAGTTTCAGTGGTCAGCATTGTTTCTTTACACGAGATGGAGCTGCTGCTCTCACGCTCAACCTTCTGTTATTTCTAGGATTATCACCGATTAGTGAGGTTTTGGAGTGCGTTCGTTGGCCGGGAACTGAACACACACCTACCTATAGCGTGGCTGACATAATTTCTATCGTTGAACCATCGAAGAGCACCTTGAGATAATGTACATTCTTGATGTTGTAAGCCCACAATATGACTGAGATACAAAATGACTCAAGTGTACTGACAGCTTATTTTCACTTGAACATCTTGTTATCCTGTGCTTATTTATTCTCACTTTGCCTCCCTTTTTTATTGGACCAGTTCTACTTTTTTTTCCATTGTTCCCTTCTCGACTTTCCGTAGCTTTACTAAAGTGAGGTGTAGTGATTTAATGGCGTTACACAGTTGCTCTAGGTAATAAATGTACTGATGTCCAGATATTTAGCCTATGTACATGGTTAAACCAGAGAAATATTTGTTTGATGTGTAACAGACCATTACATCTGTGAATAAATCCATTTGATAAACCAACTATGGCCAAAACTCTGCAGTATTTTCATATATTGTAATCCCAGTGTACATGTATCTCACAGCCACAAAGTATAACCTGGCAAGCTACTGCGCTCCGCATGTATGCCCTTTGTATTCTCTGGAGAAGAGTTAAGAGAGGTTGAACCACATGATGGCAACAATCCATAAAGCCATTGGCTGTTACTTTGAGATATAGAGGTCCCCAGTAACATTTGACTATCAAATAATCTATTATTAAAGTCAATCCAGTATTCAATAACTTCATTGTTATTAATATTATCTTATCAAATGTGTCTAGAACTTTGCTCAATCTGTTTGTCTGTTTTCGACATAGAACTTTGCACATATGTGCGGCAGTTCAAGTCGCCACACTCCCTCCTTGTAGCACACAAAGCAAGAGAAGAAGGTAGGAGAAATGCATAATAAAGACAGTAAACAGAGGTGTGAGACAAATGTGTAGTAATAACGAAGAACAAAACAGTTTCATTGGAAATCATAAGTCACAAGGAGTGGATGCATCTGGGCCAGCTATTGAGAACGATTTTGAGCCATGTCACCAATTGTTTCCAACCATTGGTTTTTACCGTCCCGAGGAACCCAACCAGTCAGGAAGTCTACACCTTCCTACTTGGCTTGGACTAACTGTTGTAGATTTCATTGACTGGTGCCATGTTTTGTTTTGACCACCGCTAGCTCTTTTCCAGCCTGGCCCTATATCAGCTAACATTGCCCGTCGAGGGAGGCGATGACTAGGCATGATTAACACATGTCCTAACCATCTCAGTCGATGTAATTTCACAGTTTCATCGATTGATTTCCCCTCCTTACCTAGTACTCGGCGCTTAACCTCAATATCGCTCACCTTATTATGCCACTTCACACGGGAGATAGAACGCAGGCACTTATGATCAAAGACAGCTAGTCGGCTTTCTCATGTCTTCCACTCTCAATGGCCAGGTCTCACAGCCATAAAGGAGGACGGAGCGGACTGATGAGCAGTACACACGCCCTTTGGTCGATAGTCGGATATCTCGTCTACGCGAGAGACGGCGTAAACTGGTATATGCGAATCAACTTCGCTCAATGGATATAGAAGACTATCAGTGACTTTCCTTGAACTTATTCCTTAATAGCTAGTCAATTCTTGAAATATTAAAACGGAATAGTGACAGCAGACACTAATTGTCATCACTTCGGATGACTTTAATCTGGTGCACTTCATATAGATTCTTAGTAGATCGATGCAGTACTCCCTATCGCTTCACTTGGCGTTCTCTGTTGTCTCTAGGTTCTATGCATTCATGTAAAGACTTCTGTAATGACTGTAATGAATTAAGATGAAGATAGATGCTTGTTTTTCTACTGTATGCTGTGCAGTTTCAGTTGGTTATTCATTCATAATTCATTTCGTGTTCTGTCTTCTTTAATTTTTATAGGAGTTAAAATCAGAACAAGTGAAAAAAATGGATCGTCTTTTCCGTCGTCAACTTGCTGTCCCTCTTTTAAGTAAGTAAGCAAGTCACTTTAAAAAAAAGTCAAATACGCGCAATTTACACAGTTCAAGGAGCGGGGGGGGGGGGAGAAATTTCACCACGGTTTCATTTTGGGTAATGAAATTTTTCAGATCACACAAGGTGGTGATATGCTTGATGTGAATAATTTCAGTTCCCAAAGGAAACTGTGTGGTAAAATGTGTCACCTCCCGGGACTGTGTAAATTTACGAATTTGATTTAGGGTGTTACCAGTTCGTCGAAGTAGAGTTAGCCAAAAATCGGGGGTGGCTGGCTGGCTGGATTCAACATAGAACTTGGCACCGACGTGCAGCAGTTCGAGTTGCCACGTTCCAAATAGCACACAAAGGTAGACAAGAAAATGAGTGAAGAGAATCAATAGAGTTTTGACGAGTATAAGAGTGAAACAGAATGAGTAATGGTAGAAAGGAATGTGAAAGATTACAGAGACTGAATACATCTGCGTAAGCCATTGACAACGATTTTGAGCCATGTCACCTATTGTCTGTCTCCAGCCATTGATTCTTAGAGTCCCGATGGCGGGCCCCAACCCGGAAGTCTGCATCTCCCTACCTGACTCAGTTTAACTGTCAGGGATTTCATGGATTGATGAGGCCATGTTTTTGTTTGGCCACCACTTACTCTTTTCCAACCTGCACCTATATCAGCTAGTAATGCCCGTCCGTCGGAGGAGGCGATGGTTAGGCATGCGCAGCACGTGACATAGCCATCTCAATCTATGTAAGTTTATAGCCTCTTCGAGTGATTTTCCCTCTTTGCCCAACACTCTACGCCTAACGTCAACATTACTTACCTTATTATACCACCTAACGTGATAAAGAGATCGTAGACATCGGGGCTGTTTGGATTGACTCGACTCTCTGACTGAACTGAGAGTCAAACTGGGTACACACCGCCTCTGATCATCAGATCGGCCCCAGACGAGAATTGAAACGACCGTCCGGTGTTTTAATCACTCTATTGATTTGGCTAGCTAGCTAGCAAGGAAGCAAGCAAGCATTACTGGTTGGTGTGAGTGGTATGTATGCTACTACTCATCGCAATCAATCAGTAGTATGTGGTTTCAAATCATTTTTCATTTCCACGATCGTCAGCTTGGTTCTCTCCATTCCATTGCTTTCCAAATAGAGCATAGCTCTCCAAGCTTTTTAAAGTTTCACTAGCAGTTGTTGTATTTTCACGGGAGGTGAGGGGGGGACGATTGCTACTAGTCTTGTGCCTGACTCCCTCTCTCCCCCTAGCTTACTGCCGACTAGGCAAGGTTTCCAAATGCCTGTGTCTGCCACGAATGAAACCCACACTTTCCACCTAGCTGACCAGTGCACTCAACCATTGAAATCTCGAGATGGATACACCTAAATGTACAGTTTTACTATTGTTTGTCAGCAGTGTATTCACCGTACCCTTTTTCTCTTGGTAAATTCTTTATCCTGAATTATAGATATGGAACAAACCCTACTTGAGTATCAGGCTTTTCTATCTGAAATTGGTGTGGATCTATATCAACCAAGAGAAAATTCAGATTCTTTCCTACCAGAAGAAGTGAAATTAGAGTATGAAAAAGCTCTAGAGGATTTAAGTATTCTATTACCATATGAAGAAGCATTAGAGGTGAGTTATTTATGCAGTCTTCTCGTAAATGCTTTCTATTCTTTATAAAGTTTAATTCAGGTGCATGTATTTTATAATGACTTTGTTTTTTTGCTGTGTAGGATATTAGAAATGCATTAGACATAAGGTTAAGGGATTTAGGCTATTCACAGTTTTAAAGTTAAGAATACAGTTTGGCTTTTTACACGAGTGCTGTGGCTACTTTTGTCTTTGTGTAGTATTTTACGTGTTGATCACGGATTGATATCAGTTAGAGAACCATTGAAAACCAGGGAGTACTGGACAGCTGCTGTTTCATCCTAGTTTGGGAATCATCGGCAGTACGCACCCACTGGGATTCGGACCCAGGACCTTCCGGTTACAAGGCAAGCTCGTATACCATTCAGCCACTGGGACCCGAACATAACTAACCCTTACAAACCAAACTATAGAAAATTAATCTGATGCTCGCTAGTGACTTGCTACAGGATGGAGTTTCCTGGAGTTCTAGTGAGAAGTCGTGATCAGTGAGGTCCAATTAGATGTCACGTGTGTAGATGGATGTCCCACCAACGACAATGGTTGGGGTCGCGCTAAATCACGAATCGGTAGAAGTTAGAATTCCTGAGCCATTGAATCGGGTCCCAGTGGCTGAATAGTATACGAGCGTGCCTTGTAACCGGAAGGTCCTGGGTTCGACCCCTGGAAGTGGCTGCGTGCTGCCGATGATTCCCAAACTAGGATGAAACAGCAGCTGTCCAGTACTCCCTGTTTTTCAATGGTTCTCTAACTGATATCAATCCGTGGCCAACTCGTAAAAACATAAGTAACCCTTACAAACCAAGCTATAGAAAATTTGTGCAGTATTCTCCATGCTCTCCGCATTTTCTATACACAGAACATATACCAGGTAATCATTGTAACCAAATGCTTTATATGTTGAATGGTCTACGAGCTCGCCTCGTAATCGGAAGGTCCTGAATTCGAAACCCAGTGGGTGCGTCCTGCTGGAGAATCCGGGACTAAGACGAAATAACTGTCCACTACTCTTAGGTTTTCTAATCGGATGTCAGCTGGTAACCAATTCTGTAACCAATCAAATCCCTGCACAGCAACACCTGATCATTTCGATATGTTTATAACTGAGATTGTTGGTGATAAATGGTTACAAAATCGTTCACATAATGGCGCAAATGTTCTTCTTCACTTCTTGATATTAATTAGATTTTGAAAATCTTCTATAGTCTACATTTAATTATCCTTTTGCTTTCTGTCTGTTTTCGTCCATTGTAGTTTCACCGCATTCTTTTCTCTAATTAACGTGGTGCTTTTCCAAAATATGGCGAGTTGAAGTGACGTATTTTGTATATGACATTCTAAATTAATTAAGTTAGTTCGTATTGTTGGATATGGTTGGGAGTTATGTTACGCATGCCTAACCATTGCCTTCCTTAATGGGCAATGTTAGTTGACATAGGATGAATCAGGTTGGAAAAGAGAAAGTTTTAGTGGTGGTCAAACCAAAACACGGCTTCATCAGTCAATGAAATCCACAACAGTTAGTTTAAGCCAGCCACGTAGCGAAGTATAGACTTCCTGACTTGTTAGAGTCCTCGGGATGGTGAAAACGAATGTAGGCTGAAGACAGTTGGTGATATGGCTCAAAATCGTTCTCAATGGTTCAGATGCATCCACTCCTTGTCACATGTATCTAATAAAACTAAACTGTTCTTCCTAATTACTATTCTTTTTCCCTCGCACTTCTGTTTATTATCTCTCTCACTTTTGAATCTCTCTTTACTCTCTTCTCTTGTTTTGTGTACTACTTGGAGTGTAGCACCTCGAACTACTGCACATCTGTGCAAAGTTCTCTGTTGAATCCAGTCAGTGAGAAGTGTTGGTACAAAATATTCCTTTAAAAAACTACGCTTTTAAGTATGGCTAGTGTTTAATTGAAGCTGGGATCGGGAAAGTGAGATCTGTAGAGGTTATTACTCTGAATCCAGTATAGAGGTCTACAGGGCACAAGGAAAAATGATGCGAATTTCTCACCGTAATGTCAAGTCAGTGCTTCAGAGATTTGGCACGTCACCAAAACCATTTCTGACAGACAGCTACAGGCTTCCACCAACAGACATCTTCAACTGACACTCAGTATGAAATAACCGGGAAGGATAAATAACAAGAAACTCTGGTAGGCAATGGACCTACGAAGTATACAGAATAACCAAAAAATACACAGAGGAAAGTGTGAATGAATGGGACCGTTGAGTGACATCGTACATCAGGCCGTCTAGTGGAACCCTAGTGAGAAATGCCAAGTCGGACGATATGGAGATTATACGAAGAGGAAATGGAAACTTGTAGGTATTCGTTGAACCAACTAAAAAAAGACTGCAGAGAAGGGAATACTGTGGAGATGTACTGCAAAAGCCCTATATTTCACTTGTAATAATATGGTATATACTCATATTGTGTTCACATTGTTAGTGAATTAAAGGAGTATCGACACTTTTGGGACTAGAGATTTGCACGTTTTATGTATGATTGGTCACTTCTGGGGGTGTAACCACAGAGTCATGTCTGTGTTCTTAATATTGTCACTGACTGAATTCTATCAGTCAAGTTTGCAGTACGATCACTGAGCTGGGTGAGACTGGCCATCGACGCTGTGTACTTTGAATTAATCTTAGGTGGCTGGAGGTAACCAACAGAAAACTGTGGACCTAGGTTTTTTGCTTGCTGGTACATATTAACAAAGCGTATCTGCAACTTCTAGGGGACTGATGTCCCCTCAGAGATTCGAACCCGCGTTACCCTGTGGTGCAGTTGTGGTGAGAGCTGTCTACTAGCCAAATTGGTAGACAGTAATTTACGTCAATGTTTACGTCCTCAATATTGGTCGTGAGGAAATATGAACAAAGACTGATTCAAAACCGACCACAGCAGACTTTGCGTAGGTGGATACAGTTAACATATAGATGATCTGACATTCAAGAAACAGTCACAAGAGATGAAAGATTAACTTTAAGTGAGGAACAACCAATCAGAAGACTGTGTTTGTTTACTTAACTAATCTATAATAATGTACATGAAAATACATAAATAGGCTTTGATTTCCTTAATAAATGATCTGTTGTCTGGTCCTTGTCTTCTGTTGTTACACAGTCATAGAAGTCATTACTTGTGAAAGGATTAAAAAAATATGACAGGATGCGAATGCAATATCCCTGGAGAAAGATTTCTAACGATACAAAGACATTCTGTGTGTGGACAGTGAAATAGGTGTGTAGTCAGGTGGGTGTTTTCAGTGTTGTTTTCCTGAAGTTGGCATCCGTTGCGCTATAAATCACAAATTGACAGAAGTGACATTCATGGGCCAGCCACCGGATTCCGTTCCAGTGTCTGGAATGGTCAGCAAGCTTCCTTTGTAAAGGGAATGTTCTGGGAGTTCGTTTCCTTCCAGTGTGAGGTCAAAAGTGCGTACTGATGAAGAATCGGTCCGAAACTTGGACAAAAACCCGCTGTCTATCAAATACTCACTGGTTTCCACTGGTTCTCTAACTGTTGTCAATCCGTGATCAAACTTGAAAACAAAACATCAAAATATGTGAACATTATATGTTTTTATAAAGTTTTCTATTTATGCGAGTAATTCCTTAAACAATTATACATATGTGAATATTTTGCATGAATATCTAGGAAGCGGCTGAACTCTCCGACACCGAATCTATTGCCAGCTGGAATATGTATCTTGATTGGGCAGTACATTGTGCAAAACGTAAAAAGCCTAAAATGTCTACAAAATCCTCTGAAGATGCTGTTAATAACAATGAGAAGAATGCTTCAGCAAATTTTATCATTTCACCAAATACTGTATGCTGTCTCTTTGAACGTGCTATTACAGCACATTGTTTGGACACGTCTATATGGATACGTTATGCAGATTATGTGGTAAGTGTTATTGTATTGTGTTTTTATATGAAATGTCACTTTTATCTTCCGGTTTGGTAGTCCAACTGGGTTGAATTTATACGTTATTGTTAACATAAAGGTTCGTTGAGCATTATTATTCACGGAGATGCAGATAAATGCAGCTGTAGCATATCTCCCACTCATATATCTATCCCTTTCAGTACAGAACTTACATTTACGGAACTTAGGACTTGGGACTCCGTTGCCTGGAACAAATTTTTTATTTAATAGGCTTTGAGCCACACATTGTGTGTGTGTGTATAAAGGCTGATGATACTCAGACTTAAAGTAGGTGAGGTGGGATTCGAACCCGAAACCTAAGAGTTGAAAGTCGAATGTGTAAACCACATGTTTATGGAGTCCATCATAGTATGATAATAGGGCTCCTATAGGTCCCTTTATTCTGTTCTTCAGAGTTAAAGACCACGATCTTATGTGGTTGTGTTGAGGTATCAGCAGTGTCTGTGTGAAGTGTAGATGATTGAACACCTTATAGACATTAATCATTGTCCGTCAGTCTCCTTTCTTCAAAGTTAGGTATGTTATAAAGGGGACGATAATACTAAATATGGCTTTGTTCTTAATGTTACTTCTAACACACACACACACACACACACACACACACACACACACAAGACAGTATACGTCTGATCGCGCTGCCCCGTCAAAAAAGTGAATTTATCTAGAAACTACAGCTAATTATTTGGTTATTTCACATGACCGATAAATTATTGGTCGACGGTATGAAAAAAGTATTTTCTGACTAATTACGCGAATGTTCCTCTCAGAAACCAGTGGTTTGTGCATCAGTGGCTCTAACATAGAATGCGCGTCAACAACGCAAATGGTCCGGGGTCTGATTCATGGCTGTCGCACTCCTTATCTCATCTAACGTTTTACTAGCCGACAGTTTGCCTAGAAAGAAAGGAAAATTGAGTTTGAGGCTAGCAGTCCCACTCTTTAAGAAAGAACACCACTGCTGCTGAATCTTCAAAGCTTGAAGCTGTATGTTCCACTCGGAATGTAAAGGAAATGAAATAAAAATGGTCAAACTGGATAGAATGCATCCATAAAAATTTTACATTAGAGTCCAATGTCTTATGGGAAACGCTGAATCGTATTATTGTAGTGGTGCTACTGATAAGATTTATCAGTAGTATATATGTGAAGAGATGTTTATTGACATGAAAACATCAAATTGCAATGAGATAAATTTGATGCCAGAGAAAGCAAATGATACAGCGTTGCGGAAAAACATGGGAGAGGATAAAGGAATACAAAGAAACATAATATGAAGGACAGAAGTAGCACAAAGCGGAAGATCTGTGCAAATGATGCTATGAAGATAAAAAGTACATACTTTCGCTATATAGAGATAGTAAATTCCAATTAAACATGCCCCCTACTAAGTCTTTCGTCTTCCACCCTTATAATGTCTCCTTCTGCCCTTACATTGTCAATATACAGCGCTAAGTTCATTACGTGTTCTCCTTCTGGTTCTGAAGTCGGAACTTTATTTGTAACCCCTTTCTTCCTTGATCTGTATTTGAAAATCTGATGATATCTCTAGGGATAAACTTTTCAGTTGATAGTTACTATTCTTATAATCTCAGTTATTTTCTTATTTATAATATCGCGCTTAACTTCAGTTTATGTGTGCTATTGTTGACAGTGTGGGGCTGTGGATCACTGCTCTAGGCCGTTGACTTCCAACTAGTGGGTGGTGACGAGTTTGAACGGTGCTTCACCCGCCGAGTTTTTGTCTGCCAGGCAGTATCGCTAGCCAGCTCTCACACAATATATGTGGCTCATAGCCAACTGCATGGAATCACAGGTTGTGGCTTGTTGAATAACATTTTATTATCATTAATTACTGTGATACTAACTCCACTCTTCTTCCATTTTTTGTAATCACCTTACTTTGATTTCTTTACTTCAAGGCGTCACAATTAGAAAATGATGTTCAACGTTTACAAAAGCTATTGGCTCGATCAGTACGTAATTGTCCTTGGTGTGTTGATCTATGGCAACGATATGCATTAGTAACTGAAGCTGTAATCCTTGACAGGATTTCATTGAAAGGCAACACCAATGGATCAGAACACGAATCTATTTCACAAGAGTCTAATATCTTTAAAGAGGTTGATGGTAAGAATAATTACATAACTTGTGAATATATATATATATATATATATATCATGAATTGAAATCACTTAGAGAGAGAGAGAACCTGGGAGTATTGGAGAGCTCTTTCATCCTGGTCTAGAACTCTTCAGCAGCCCGTTACTATGACTGCACGGGGAACGAACCTACAACTTTCGGGCTAGGAGATGAGCTCGTTAATCATTTAGCCACTGGAACTCCCTAATTCACGGTTTATAACACGTCCGTCAGATGGTGTCATCGGCTAGTACCCTTGTCCTCACACCCGACTTGGTCACCCCCCCACTGCTCAGGATTTCTCATTAGAACTTTAGACAACTTCATCACCCCATAGTCAGTCACTAGTTGAGTATTGGATTCACTTTCAAGTGGTTGTTTCCATTTCATGGATAATCCCCATCCAGGTATTAATGAAAACAGAACACGTAGATCAGCGAAGAGTCTCTTTTCGCCGGCGAATTCATTTTCTTAGCTGTACAATCGCAAATATATATGTGTTATTTTGTATGTATGTGTACATTAAGTTTGCCAAACAAAATTACAATTGTTTATAGTTATTTTAACTAGACAGGTAAAAATTGGTAATCGGAGTTACGTAATACAAAATGAGTCAAGAAAAGTAGGTGTTAATGAAATTAGGATAGTAACAAAGGTGATGAGTTGTCACGAACAGTTGTTAAAAAGAAGTTATGTAATAGTATGAATAGTTTGATGAGTGAGTTGTACTCAGTCAGGATACACATAGGAACAAAGTACATAATGCGAAATTACGTAAGAGTTCTAAATGAATACAAGAATTATAAGCAATTAAAGAACAGGCAAACAAACCAAATTAAGTCATCAAAAATCAACAAAGTTGTTACCATGACAGTAGAAGTGGTTGAGTAATCCTCTTTTGTATGCACAGCGCCGGTTTTTCTATGTGAATGGCCAGAGCTTCAGTGATACAAAGAAGACGAAACCGTATTGTCTTTGGTAGATTATTCTTGACTCTGTAGATTACTTTGAAGTAGGAGGCGTTTGTTGAGATGGAATGATCACTGTTAACCAGGTGTTGTTCAATTATCGCACTCCTCATTTCACCACTATTGCCTTTTCGCAACCATGCTGGCTGGATAGTGTTCTTAAATCCTCTTGGACAGGGTGCGCGTCGAACGACCGATGTACCTGACTGGCTCCACAGCAGCAGGTGAACTGATATATGCACATAGAAGTGGTCAGATGCGGGATCTTGTCCTTGAGGCTTCTACAGATCAGTGGGCGACTGGAGAACACTATTCTTAGCGTTGCTGCAAAGAATGTTCTTCTCAGAGATGATGTGATCGTACATATAAAATAATATATATATATTTGCAATTGTACAGCTAAGAAAATGAATTCACCGAAAAGAGACTCTTCGCTGAACTACGTGTTTTGTTTTCATTAATGCCTGAATGAGGATTATCCATGAATTATTTATCACTACAAATGTTAAGTAGATATCTTAAAAAATTTCTACTATAAAAGGGTGTTGACTACAATCAAAACTATGATGTACCCTGCTGAGTGTCTCCTCTAAAGTTTACTAATTATTCCTTATTAACAGAACAACTCTGATGATATTTCATCTCCACTAAATATTCTCACAATTAGGATCTATACATGATTGAGTGGGAGATAGTCAGAGCAATAATTTCTTACAAAGTAGGCCATGAGTGGCACAACTGTTTCTTCAGATGACCATGACATTGAGAGTACGTCTTCAGAAGTCGTCTTATCCTTGCTATAATTTGTGCTGATATTGACAGCACAGCTCACAGAACAAAACCACGCCACGAGAATCAACTTGAGCAAGACTCTCTGGCACTAGAATGACTTTAAAAGTTGGTTTCCATAGGTATGAAGGTTAAAACAAAAGTTGGATGAGTAAATCAGTTGAGAAGTGGTTATTAAACGACTGTAAGAAGTGTTCCTTGCTATTGTTCTCAGTTATCAATGGGATAGAATTTGCAGTAATTAGTGAAAATTCTTATGCATTCTACTGACAAATGCTAGTATCTACAAAATTCAACTTGAGGTTACTTGCCTGGCTATTGCTAGCAGTACTGTCTGATAGTGATGAAGTCCACCAATTCATGTGCAGAAATATGAATAAGGAACCACAATCTTAGATAATATATCTAGGCTGAATAAGAAGAAATTTGTTGATAAGTCATGTCGAACACTGTAGTCAACTATCTTTGAGTGATTACAGGATTTCATCATGAGCTGACATTGGTTAGAGAACCATTAGAAAGTCTGGGAGTAATGAACAACAGCTGTTTCGTTCCAGTTTCGGACTCTTCATCGGTACGCACCCACCACCGGATGTTCAAACCCTGGACCTTCTAGTTAGAAGGCTAGCGAGCTCGTAGACCATTAAGCCACTGGGACTCGATCCAATGGCAGTCCGTGAATTCTAACTTCTGCCAATTTACTACATAGGTCGACCGCTAGCCAATGTCCCCACACCTGACCTGATTGTTGGAATGACTGAATGGGGTTAGACGTCGGTTTTAGTGATTCTGAACTCCCTAAACCACAAAAACATCTGATTACTAGGAGTGACCCATAAATTCACGGGGATAGGAATATTAAACGAACGTGTAACCATCTGCTAAAGGCAGCCTGTCTATGCTTTGAGAGTCTACAACTAACAATTCTAAACGAAATTCGTGGTTATGATAACCAATAAGAATTATAGGATATTATTACTAAGAATTCATTATTTGTTTCGTCTCACTACTATTATACCTACAGACTTAAATTGTTGGCTTACAACTAATGGACTGCGTACATCATATCACCAACCAACAATTCTGAATTTCGTTAATCTAGTCACTCATACAGGATGAGGATATAAGCTATCACAAATCAAACTCGCCGCGCATTCATCGCAGTATATTTATGTAGGTAGAACGGAGGTAGTTAGTTACAGTTTGAATTTCCCCAAGGAGTTGATTTTATATTATAAACCTAGAGAAATGCTGTGTAATCATTATATCAGATATTATGCTTTCGTCTGTTGTAAGGGTGTTCTATCAACTTTTCTACGCAGGTAGAATATTTGTTTTGATATTTGCTATACAGTTTTGTTTTATTCCTTTACCTTCCCAGTGGAACATAGACTAGCTTGAGGCAGGTAGAAGTTTCAGTAGCAGTCGTATTTATTTTTTGACAGGATGGGGTTGCCAGTCTCATGCTCAACCTTCCCTCTTTACCAGTCTTATTACTGGCTTAGCGAGGTAAAGGAGTGCGTGGTTGGCGAGCATTCTACCGCTGTGCCATGGACTCACAAAGCGCTCCTACGCCGGGAGTCGAATCCGGGCCGCCTGGGTGAGAGCCAGGAATCCTAATCGCTAGAGATAACTGCTATGCGTACTACACTTGGAAAACATCTCACGATAGCCTTTGTCCTCACTCCTTATATATATGTAATGCATCTGGGTAAATGACTCTCTATGGCAATAAAGTGCCTCTGTTAAGTCATTGGATCATTAGTGACTGAAGGTTACATTGGCTGCCAATATGGAAAATTATTACATTGATTGATCAGTCAAAATTATTTAACGACTTACCAGTTTAGATCTTATCACGTTTTCTAGCTATGAAGAGATCAGTCATCTTTTTTTAAATAACACTGGCTGGTACTGCATATTTTGTTTTGCACCAATGTTATCCTCATTTTTTATGAACAGATGAGATTCATTATCATGTCTGTAGTCGTGCCTCACTGATCTAGGTGCTTGACATAGAAACATTGGGTCACCGATTTGAACACCTCTACGTGTGACAAGGTTTGGGCATCCATATTGTAAATTCTGTGTAACTCAAATGCCTTTCTTGTTAGCGCTTATCGGTAATCTCATATCTGTAACCTGAATAGTTTACTGGTAATGTCACTAATTTCAGTACTGAGTGTATTACTGGCTTTCAAGCTTGAAACATATATCAAACAAACTGTTAATATTCATAAACTGCAAATACAGTCTGTCTGGATTCAACATAAAACTTGGAACCGAAGTGCAGCAGTTCGAGTTGCCACGTTCCAAATAGCACATAAAGGTAGACAAGAAAATGAGTGAAGAGAATCAATAGAGTTTTGACAAGTATAAGAGTGGAACAGAATGAGTAATGGTAGAAAGGAATATGAAAGATTACAGAGACTGAATACATCTGCGTAAGCCATTGACAACGATTTTGAGCCATGTCACCTATTGTCTCCAGGCATTGATTCTTAGAGTCCCGAGGTTGGGCCCCAACCCGGAAGTCTGCATCTCCCTCCCTACCTGACTCAGTTTAACTGTCAAGGATTTCATGGATTGATGAGGCCATGTTTTCGTTTGGCCACCACTTACTCTTTTCCAACCTGCACCTATATCAGCTAGTAATGCCCGCCCATCTGGAGAGGCGATGGCTAGGCATGTGCAGCACGTGACCTAGCCACCTCAATCTATGTAACTTTATAGCCTCTTCGATTGATTTTCCCTCTTTGCCCAATACTCTACGCCTAACGTCAACATTACCTACCTTATTATACCACCTTCTAGCGTGAGAAAGAGATCGTAGACATCTATGATGGAAAACAGTCAACCTTTTCATGTCTTCAACTCGTATTGGACATGTTTCAGAGCCATATAGAAGGATGGAGCGAACTGCTGAGCAGTACACACGTCCCTTGGTTGATAGCCGGATGTCACGCCTACGCCAGAGATGGCGTAAGTTAGCGAAAGCAGCTCGAGCTTTTTGGATCCGTGCTGAGATTTCGTCACCAATCAGTCCGTTGGTGCTGATACAACTTCCCAAATAGGTGAAGTGGTCAACATGTTCTATCACTTCAATCCCTATCACTAAGCTAGGAGTAGACGTAGTCCAGTTCTGTAGCAGCATCTTACATTTTACAGGGGCGAATCGCATGGCAAACATACGAAGATTGCTACTCAATGTGTCAAGAAGACTCTGCATTTTGCCAGCATCCTCCCCTAACAGGACTATGTCATCTGCATATTCTAAGTCCATAAGACTATTCCCTGGTAACAAGTCGATTCCTAAGTCGTTACGTTCAGTTAAGGAGACTTCCATTAGCATGTCTATGATGCAGTTAAACAAAAATGGGGGAAAGTGAACATCCCTGACGGACACCACTGGTTGTTATCAATTCAGATGACAATTCCCCATAAACCCTTACATGGCTACGTGAGTTTGAGTAGAGTGCCTTGATTAGTGCAATGTACTTTCTTGGCACTCCCTTCACAGTCAAACATTGCCATGGTACCTTTCGATCCACGGAGTCGAAGGCCGCCTTTAAGTCAAGAAATATGGCAATTGTTGGACGCCTAAAAGTGTGTCTATGTTCTAGGATCTGTCGGAGAGTGAAGATATGATCTATGCACCCTCTACCTGGCCTAAAGCCTGCTTGATTTTCCCTCGTTTGTTCCTCCCGATTTCTGCTTAGTCTGTGCATGATTACTGAGCCTATGATTTTAGAAACTATGTTCGTTAGGTACAGTCTAGTGACTACATTTCACACACTGGGACTAACAGAAGTACATTTCTTGTTATCAAGTGATTCACCTCCCGTAGAATATCAATATGCAAGTACGTTGAGTAAATCTACTCGCATAGTAAGTTGGTTTTCTCTTCTTTCGACTAAGATTAACTTGTGTAAATATAGTTTTCGAATTTTCTGTCTATATTAGTAATTTAAAAAATAATATTTCCTGTTTAGGTATCTATGAAACAGCTTTAAGCGCTGGTTTTACAGATCCGAATGATGTGCTTAAAATTTGGCGTAGTTATTGTGATCATCATGTACGCAGGCTTTGTTCATTGGAAAAGAATTCTTTATCTAGAGGTAAGTTTAATTATTTGTTTAACTTGTTTTTCATATCTTCTCAGTCTTGTAAGTATTTGGGTTAGTTTTTGAACTTTCATGGCTAGTTCGTCTGTCGTGGTGTGTTGAATACGGTCAAATACCTATCCTATAAAATTTATCAGGTAGATCAAAAAAAGGTCAAAAGGAAAATAAAACTAATGGTGAAACTAATAATGATAACATAAATGAGAGGGAATATAAGGCATCTACGATAGTTTTACCATATAAGGAGGGGACATCTGAGACCCTACGTAGGATTCCTAATAAAGCAGGAATTAGAGTGGTATTCAAACCTACAAACTCACTAAGAAATAAGCTCTGTAGACTAAAGGACGCGGTGAACCGAATTAAACAAAATAATATAATTTAAAAAATACCTTGCAATGACTGTGAGTTAAGTCAACTACATAAGTCAAATTAGTAGATCAGGAGTAGTCAGATTGCCTATCGGAACATAAGAATTTAGCTAAGGTTAGAATGATTGTTCCTACGATGATAAGTAATTTGGAAAAAAAGTTCAGCAATCACACTGCATGCACTGACACACAATCGGGTGGGACAGAGTCAAAATTCTACAGAGTAATATAGGTAAATAGAGACAAAGAGAAAGATTGATTACTCAATCCTGGTTCATTGAGTGTACACCCAACACACTCTATAGAAATAACTCAGCACAAATACCAGAAATATAGAAGGTATTATTACCAGTCAAATCAGAGGGGGATAATAAATAATGTTAAAATGTATTCAATTCACATTATTACACTAGAAAAAGTTATTTATTTTACTATAAAATATCTTATTTCCCATCTTATTGTATTTGATTGATAACACTCATATTATTATTTCTGAATGTACACTATACTATAGTGGTTTTTAATCAAATATCTAATCAATTTCACTCATGTATATAAATGAAGTAAAAAGTTGTGTGAGTAGTTTCTTGATATGATTATGAGCAGCAATAATTTGTACTCGAAACGTGGTCATCAGTAAATATTACTGTATAACAACGCTGTGTGATTTTATCAAAATAAAATTTTATCCATATTGGCATAGTTATACTCTACTGCAGTGCCCAAATTTTATCCTTATAACAGTCAAACACCATCCAGAAATTTACCGCTGATTGTGTTTATATTTTTGCCTTACATAAATTTATTATTATTACTGTTGCTTATAGTATTGATATGATTTGATTTCCTGCCTTACACATTTTTAATATACCTCTTTATTGATTGTTTTGGTCCCTGTTGCATATGCTTAACTTGTCTATTGACCAGTGTTATGGTTCTGTCCTTTTGAATTTTTGTTAATTGAAGGTGCTCCGCCCGCCCCACCTCAACCCACCCCACCGGTCCCCCGTGGAAATAGCGAATACGAAGGCTTTGTTAATATTTTATTAACATTTATACCTAAAGCATCGGTGCGAAGGCGGTTCATTGGCAGATTGCTCACTTGCCACTGTGGAGGTTTGGGTTTGATTCCTGACCGATAAACCTCCCGTAGTAAGCACAGAAAAAAGGAAACGTTGGGCGTGAGACTAGCTTACCTCATCCCGTAAAAAAGATGATACCATAACTATACCTTAACTTCAAATCTTGAAGCTCCCTATGATGAAAATATGTACTAGTGCTTTTGATATAAACTTCAATTTTATCGTGTTTGAAGTATTAACGTTCCTTCACTCCATTTTTACCGCTTGTAAATTTTGTGATATGCGTATTCACTAAATAGTGTTATCGTAGCTCACTAGTTGTTATCGGTACTTGGGTGTTTTCTCTTGACACTGTTTTCAACATTAATCTGTATAATTATGCGTTGTAGCTTGAGAAGTCGACTGTTAGCCAATGGACGTTGTGGGTTCCAGTCCAAGTTCACCTACTCTACTTCAGTCTAATTAACTGAAAATTAGTGCTATCATCTCTAATACAACAATAACTGTCAATTTTGCGCAGCCTGGTACACATGGGAAATCTTTTCTGAGTGCCTGATTTTCAACTGATGTCGACTAATCGAATTGGGAATAATATTTCTCTCAGTTATTATTTATGAGCCATTCTTTGCATACGGATCATGTCAGAAGATTATCCTTAGGGATTTAGTTATTTCCGCATCAATTAAAAGAATTTAGAAATCTTGACATTTGAATATCGCTCTATAGGCTGTTCTGTAATGTCTGTTATAGATTGTAGGGTTTCTAAAGACTGTTAGTGCTGACGTACTTGACTGCATCACCGGGTGGCGAGTGTTTTAATTTCACGGGCGCTAGCATGAAACCTAGATCCAGGATTGCCTATCGATTATCTCGAAATACCTGACATCAGTTCACGAATCATACTGAGATGGCGAGTCACCTACCGTGTTGACCTGACCCTATTGTGTAAGTTGACTGGTAAACATCATTCTGGGCGAACTTCGTAGCAACTTTCGTCTATTCTACTTTTTGTGGATACTTACCATAGGACAATGATCTAATTTGTGTTCATTCATGATCTATTTCAAGTTTGATTGCGGACTGATATTGGTCAGAGGACCATTGAGAAACCATTGAGCACTGGAAAGCTGTTTCGTCCTGGTTTGAGACTCATCTGCAGCGCACACCTACCATCAGGGTTCAAACCGAGGACCTTCCAGTTACATGCCAAGCTCGCAGACTATTACTCAGCTACTGAGACCCGACTCAACGGCCAGCCCATGAATTCTAACTTCTACCAAATCGTGATTTTAGCGCAACTGGCACCAGCCAATTTCATCGCTGGCGAGTATTTGTATCCTCACAGCCGACTGAATGGACCCCACTGGTCACGACTTCTCATTAGAACTTTAGGCAATTTCTTCCTGTGTAGCCAGTCACTAGCCAGCATCTGATTAGTTTTTAAGAGTTAGTTTGCCAGGGTTTGATTTGTTTCAATTTTTACCTTGGACTGATATCAGTTAGAGAATCATCGAGAAACAATTGGGGAATACTGGACATAATTTAACCAATACACTTTGCTCAGTATATCACCTATTAAGCCAACCTTGCATTAGATTATTATTATTGTTGTTCCCTTGTGTTCCTAGTGGAACATAGGGCTTCAACTACACGTCTGCACTTGCTTCTGTCTTCTGCTGTACTTTTCACCTGCATCCATGTTAGTCCATACTGTTTCAACTCCTCTTCACACTATCCGCTCCATGTCACCCTTGGACGTCCCGCTCACCGCTTTCCTTTCGGGTTCCTCTCGAGCATTGGCCTGACGCTCGATGTCACACAGCGGCCTCCTCAGCGAGTGTCCAATCCATCTCCACTTTCTCCTGCATATTTGTTGGGCGATTGGTTCTTGTTTTATTTGTTCCCATAGTTTCTTGTTGGTTCTTGTTCTTTCCGGCCATCTGATCTTGAGTATAGAGCGAAGACAGTTAGTTGTTGATAAAGGTCTGCAACAGGCTGTTGGAAATATTCTTTGTGACCCGCCAAGTTTATTAGATTATGAAGCCTATTAAAACTAAATTATTCATGGAGTATTTGATTTTTTTCTCCTTTACTTTCTTTTACAGAGCATCGATTAGCATTGCTTCGTGCAACATTCGGTCGAGCTATTGAATACTGTTTTGAATGTAAGTCAACTGTCATCATCATTAAGGTGTTAATTTATTTTATTACACCATTTTTGTTCTGCGTTGTACTCTGTAGTGACGCTTTTCTCTCTCGCACAATAAACTGTGTTGTAGGTTATTTGCATCTACATTGAGTCTGTCCGTAAAGGATTTTCGCTGTCTCAAATTTATTTTAGGTACGCTTGTGGAAGTCTGTATATCAATCATAACCTAACTGTATACGAGTGAACCTACTTCACAGAAACTTCTTTAATTATCAGGTGTTGGTTTGCAGGGGACCATTGAGGAACCAGTGAGCACTCAGTGACTGTTTCGTCCTAGTTTGGGACTCCTCATCAGTATACACCGGCTAGGGTTCAAACCCAGGACCATCTAGTTACGAGGCGGGCCACCGGGATCTGACCCAGTGGTCCATGAATTCCAACTTCTGCCATTTCTTGACACTATATTTAGCATAAACTGCAGCCGATGTCACAGGTGAGTGACCTGGTGGGGGAGTACCGCTGAAGATTCGCAGACTAGGACGAAACGGTTGTTCAAATGGTTCGCTACATGATGTCAGCTCGTGATCAGTCCTGCCTGCTTAATTAGCTTAGGATATATAGGAGATTATAGCCTTATTACACTGGAAACAGTGACAAGCTGCATAGTCTCCTGGACGACGCTTCAACTGAAGATGTTGTGATGCTAAGAATGTGTTTTACGCATCATAAGGCTAAATTGTTACATTAGAAATGGTCAGTATCATGAGTACGTTTGTTAAGATAATTCAGTGTAGTATTTGGAATCATTTCGCTTATTCGGGAGGTTGGATCAGCCGTGGAGAGTTAGTAAATAACAAAATTTCGACAGGACATGCACACAACTCACTTAACTGTCGATGAATTACGCTAATTGTAGAATGGGTGCGATATCCTAGTACCTAATAAGATTCAACTGTACTCTACGGCAATGCGCTTTCTCTTAATATTGCAAACTTGACTGATAGAATTCAGTCTGCACCAAACAAAGGACCAAGTGCATTCCACTATTTAATAACTGGTGTCCAATCATAGTATCTAATACAGTCAGTCCTACAGGAGGTCAGTCGCCAACCTGAATAGCTCAGCACTGGGTGACACGGGTTCGAATTTTAGAAGGGGCATGATTTCCTCCCAGTTTGCAGACACGTCTTGCTGACGAGTGAAAACCAGCATGAAGCCTACATCCAAGGGTTCCTGCCGATTGTCTACAACCATCTATCATCAACTGCTGCTTGGTATGGATAGTATCTGACTACTTATATCAATTAATCAGTAGGTTATGGCATGATGCAAGAATAGTAGTACACACAATCAGCTACAAATACTTTTTTATTCCTTTGCCTTCCCAGTGCAACATATACGGCTTCAAGCTAGAGCTTCGAATTTTCGGTAGCAGTGATTTTATTTATACGAGGTGGAGTCGCTATTCTTACTCCCGACCTTCCCTCTTTGCCGGGGTTATTACCTACTAAGTGAGGTCTGGAAGTTCATTGGCCGGGGATCGAACCCTCGGTCGCGTGAGTGGCTGGCGAGCATTCTACCTCTGAGCCACCGACGCACTGCTTCATGTACTGGTGCATTTTAATTCATCAGGTTGTACTACTACACTGGGCTATTTAAAAGATTTATATGTATGCTATCTGCTAGAATATAAAACGGTAACTTTAAAGAATAGGAGCCCAAACCGAAACGACCTACGAACGCACAAACGACCTTGAGAAACCAATCAGGTGACTCCGTTGTTTCTAGAAGTAATTATGGGATATCTGTGACACCACTCTCCGAAAAGGATATATTGAGGCGGTTCCTAATCGCAGTGCAGGTGTATTATTGCCTATTATCCAGCGCTTAGTGTTACCTGGGACCACTATTCACACAGACGAATGGAGCAGTTACGGTCAATTGTCAAATCTCGGGTATATTCACCATGTAGTCAACCACACAAATGGTTTTCGCAATCCTTTGGATGGAACTCGTACTAATCCAATCGAAAGTTTCTGGCGTCACCTAAAAAAACGGATTCGATTGATGAATGGATCTAGAAATCCAATGATATACATTTATCTTGATGAGTTTATGTATAGAACTTGGTTTAATATCAGTATGAAGACACCTATTAGAAATTCTGGTTTTTTTTCGCAACATATACGAGAACGTTATCCATTGTAACTATTTTTTAACATTGCATTACTTTTATATAAAGGATGTTTTACAATTATGCGCAGTTTTTTGAGCCTTCTGATTGGTCGAAGTTGTCCTTGACAAGGTCGTTTGTGCGTTCGTAGGTCGTTTCTGTTTGGGCTCCTATTCTTTAGAGTTGCCTATAAAATAGCGGATAGGTGGATTTAATGGCCAAAAGTTACAATAAACTATGCTTGAGATGCAACATGGAAAACAAAAGGAAGATAAAGAAACACAATACTGAAGACATGTGCGTATTGTGATTCTACTATATGGTAGACATCATTTGCCTATATCTCTGCATCGAATTGCCAATAAATAATTCCGTTACCAAATTTTCTTGTATTTTGCCGTTACACACTGCTACTACAGACCACACAGGTGGTCTGGGATTCGAACCCCGGCCGACGCTCTCCTAAACCTCTCTTAGCCTCTAGTAAGTCCGGTAAAGACAGACAGTTGGACGTGAGGCTAACAACCCCGCTTTATCGAAAAAATAGAATAGCATCACATCTATTGAAATTACAAAGCTTGAAGCCATATGTTCCTCTCGGAGTGAAATGACCTGATGATGTAAGCAAAAGAGACGAACACTGTTAATAGTTAAAAGTTTATGTGAGAGTAGGTTGAACTTCTTCACATTTATGTTGTTTGTTGTTTTCTGAATTTTCTTCTTTATAGTGCTTCATTCTCAACCGAATACTGATTGGTCACTACTCAGCTATTATGCTTTCGTTGAGGTAAGTGATTTCGATTGCTATTGCACTGCCACATTCTTCTTCTTTCATTCCTTTGCGTTCTGCTTGGAAGATAGAAATAGAAATTTTGAGATCTCAGTAGTGGTGGTGCTATTTCTTAACAAGTTAAGGTGCTAGCCGCACACCAAACGCCTACCCTCTTCTTTTTTTGCAGTTACTACAGGTTAGCGAATAAGGCGAGGTTTAAGAGTGCTTCGGTGGCCAGCAATTGAAACCTGGCCACCTTGTCTGTTTTTAACGAGCATCTTTTGCACAAATTCTTTCATTTGACAGCTCAAACCTTTACAGGGAAAGCATTGATCGAAACGTTATCCTCTTGAACAATGACGATCTACAATGCTCCATTCGACTGGCGTTGAAGATTGTCTCTCACCCCACCTTCCTGCTATTCATATCGAAACCTGTGAAATGACCTATTGAAAGTCTTTTCATACATTTGTTCCCCTTAATGAATTTGAACAAAGCAACAACTACAGTTTTAGCAGAATAAAATGGTACCATATTTTATTTCGTCGCCTTCTCTTCAGCTGCTTACAGGGCAAAAACATTATTAAATGTATCTACAAAAACAATTTTAACATACTTGCACAGAGTTCATTTTAAACAAGAATCAACCGATCAATATACGCATACACTAATTCTCTCTCTCTCTCTCTCTCTCTCTCTCTATATATATATATATATATATATATATATATATATATATATGCAATATTGAACACAATTCCGAGCAATAATAATCATACAAAATGAAAACTTTTCAGTATCTCGCATTAGGATGAAAAATATCCAGTTACCAGGGCAAAGAAAGACTGATAACTGCTTCTTTCTGAACGCACAAATCAGGTTTTAGGCGCTTGATGGAAATGGCTTCAGCAAACTTAAGGAGCATTGAACTCTTTTGCTTATTGACAATTTTGAACGACTTTTCCACGTCCACCTCATGACCCGTGTCAAGAAGATGCCTGGCGATGGCACTGCTTAAAGCATTTGTTCCCTTTAGACGTAAGCTTTTTGGTACATGTTCAGAAAATCGTAGATATGCTCTTCTTTCTGTTCTTCCAATGTAACTGCTCCCGCAGATACATGTAAATTTGTATATACAGTTGGAGTTAACATGAGAAGGATACCTATCGATTTTTGATTGCACTCCATATTCAATCACTAAGATATTCTTTCTACACTGAATATTATATTAGTCTGATCTTTCTCCCCATAAATGACCTGTAACGGCGGAGGGTAGGTAGCTTTCGGTCTTCCTCTCGAAGTGCTCTCACATGGCCACATGTTTACAGCCTCTGTCAGGTAAATCCTTTTAACTGCCTTCACGCAACGAGGATGTCTGTCATAAAAGGGGAAGGGGCAATACGAACGTCTGGCGCTTACAACCGGACTGTTGGATGACATGCAGGTGTACCTAGAGGAACTGGAAAACCCCGATTTGATCTAAAAGTATTGAACTGCTGATAAACCTGTTTTGGTTCCTCGGAAAACATGGGAAGCAGTTCCTATTCCACTACTTTGTAGGTCAGACTTCAAGGCAAGGGTTAAGGGAATGGCCTCTTAAGACGAAGACCACCTGCTTCGGTCTGGGCATCCCGGCAGTGCCCAACCTCTCAAATGCATCTCTTGACACCTATAATACACCAAGTTTATGTCTTAATGCATACAGAGACCAGTTTGTCTTGGGACCTATTTATTTCCCGATGTGAATTTTAAATCCAACAATAAAGTATTAGTAGTAATAAAGCAGAAGATATAATGAACTCCTCAAATCTCAGTATAAATCTTCAAATAAATACTCACTTCTTACAGTCTTATATGTATACTATGAGAGATGCATATCGAGATATTTGACTAATAACTACAAAGAATCAGTTTTACAAAGTGAAAGGTGACGTTTAGATATATGGGTAGAGGTTAAGGGGTATGAGAAGTGTCCATACTGGGGGTTAATCTAACATTTCTACTCAGTATAATCAACCAACCGGAAATTCAAAATTAACTTAAACAAATAACAGTTGATACCCATTGCACACAGAAGGTGGCTCTTGTGGCCTAAGTGGCCTATTGGATGACACTTCGGTATTTGAAACGATGGTTGCTGGGTTCTAAGCTCAGTAAAAACATCATCATTCGCCAGAGATTGCAGGTGTATCCAGCAGACGAGTCCCAGAGGGAAGAAATGTGCGCATCCTAGATTCTACTGATGCTCACTGTCCACCAAATACTACTTTTATTATTATTTTTCCCTTGGGTTCCGAGTGGAACATAAGGCCTCGAAAACACTTCTCCACTTTGTTCTATTTTCTGTAATCCACATTAGCTGGTCCCGTGATTGCCCATAATATCTCATCTCCTCCTCGCACGACCTCCTCTATGTCACCCTTGGATGCTCCACTCAAGTTCCACTTGACCGATGGTTTGGTGGGCTATGTCACTCGACGGTATCCTCTGTGTGTATCTAATGCTTCACCCTTTCTTCGGAATATTTGTTGAGCGATAGATTCTTGGTTGATTCGTTCCCAGAGTTTCTACATACTAATTCCTTCTGACCGGCTATCCGATCTTCAGTATGGAACCAGTGAAAGCATCTGTTGATAAAAGTTTGCAGTAGCCTGTTGGAAATGTTTTTTGTGACGCACATGCCAAGTTTCTGCCCCATGTAGAAGAACTGACGGACTTAACATTGGAGTTGAAACTCTGAATTTCGTTTATTCTAGCTGAGTGCAGAGGATTTCCAAATTGATTTCGGACTGATGCATTTCCAATTCTGACTGGTTTTAACTTGCTCATTCATAGTGTCGGCCGTAGTTGAAACGACGCTTCCTAGCCAGATAAGTGAAGGAAGTGACCCCTTCTAAACTTATTTCATTGATAGTGATTGGTTGGTTATCTTCACCACCTCTGCCTTCTGTATGTTCACCTGGAGTCCTGTGTCCGCTGCGAGCCTTTTCTGCCAGTATGTCGGTTTTCGCCTACAGGTCTTCGAGTGTGTGTGTGACATTAGACATAAATCATCTGCAAAGTCCGGATCTTCTAGGGTCCTCTTATTGGTTCAGTGGATTCCTGTTTTCTCTCTCCTAACGCACACTCTGACGTATAATCCAGTCCACCGCAATCAAGAGTATCAGCAGTAATAATAGGTAGCCAGCCTTGTCTTACTCTTGTATTCACTTTAAACGCCTTGCCTCGTCTCGTCCACCAAATACCAATATGTCAGTTCCTCAGACACATCGTTGAAGCCGTTTTATCAACACAGACCGTACATCTCGGTACAATCTAATTAATCAAGGAATTGTAAAATGAATAATGATAATAATAATAATGGAACAAGTTAAGATAATAGTAGTGACAAAAGGTAGTTTCAATTGAAAGGAGAATAACAACAATAAAATAATAATAATAGTTTAAAAGCTTACTCCCATGTTACAGCCTTCCTTTTATCTCTCGTCGTAGGCAAAACATGCTGAGGATATGGAACGAGCTCGTTCTCTTTGGACAAGCTTAATGAAATTGCCAGGTCATGGAACAAGAGCAGAATTCTGGATAGCTTATATTCAATTTGAACAGTAAGTGTGAAGAAACTTTGCTTTTAAATGTTTTCTCTCTTTATTTTTAAAAAAATGATTTCATACATTGTTTTGAAGATTTACAGTCCAAGTAGAGATGGCTTCTATGCGTGTGTGTGTGTGTGCGTGTGGTTTCGCGTCCTCTGAGATGATTGATTGGTTTAGTTGTAAAGCTTTCATTGTCTTTCTAGCCTCACCATCCTCAGCGGTAACTTCACCCAACACTCGTTAGGCGTAGAGTGTTGGGCAAAGAGGGAATATCAATCGACGAGGCTATAAAGTTACATAGATTGAGATGGCTAGGTCACGTGCTGCACATGCCTAACCATCGCCTCCCCCGACGGGCGGGCATTACTAGCTGATATAGGTGCAGGTTGGAAAAGAGTAAGTGGTGGCCAAACAAAAACATGGCATCAATCCATGAAATCCTTGACAGTTAAACTGAGTCAGGTAGAGAGGGAGATGCAGACTTCCGGGTTGGGGCCCTCGGGACTGTAAGAATCAATGGCTGGAGACAATAGGTGACATGGCTCAAAATCGTTGTCAATGGCTTACGCAGATGTATTCAGTCTCTGTAATCTTTCATATTCCTTTCTACCATTACTCATTCTGTTTCACTCTTATACATGTCAAAACTCTATTGATTCTCTTCACTCATTTTCTTGTCTACCCTTGTGTGCTCTTTGGAACGTGGCAACTCGAACTGCTGCACTTCGGTTCCAAGTTCTATGTTGAATCCAGACAGAGACAGGTAATTTCAGCGTGTAAGATAGTGAAAGCTTTGCTCATTATGAAGCATTAAACTGAAACTACAGAGTTAAGTACTGTGATCAGAAGCTCTTTTGATAGATTGTTTAGGGTTACTGGTTTGATGAAGTCATAAATTTCCACTAACTATAACATGATTATAATATGCGTCATTATCTTCTTCGACAAGGATTGTCAGTAAATGTAGGATTAGGCAAGGGGGAGAATTAATTGCGAGTTGGCCGACAAGAATTACCAACAAGGTTTTCTTGCAGTGTGACAAAGGAACCAAGAACCTATTGCTCAACAAAAACTATACAGATCAGATCAGATACGTGCCGAGGAGACATTTCAGTGATGTCATACGCCAGTTAATCTCTAGAGTGAAACCCGACTGAGAAGCGACGAGTTGAGCGTCCAATCGTAACAAGGAGGAGATCTTGTGGGCGATTGTGGAGCCAGCTAAATAGGAGGGAGTAATAATGATGATTTTCGAATACTTTTATCCATCAATTACTGGTATATACCACACTATTTCCCTTGCTTTCTGGGTTGCCATTTTATGGTATCGAGATCATACATTGTAATCTGAATATTTTTAGTTTTTCACAGGTGTAACCGTAGTGGATTCTCACCTCGAAATGTGTAATTCGCAAATTATCAATTTGATTCTATTTATTACTAGTTCATGTAAGTAAATAACTGGCCGTAATATGGGTAGTTTGATCCAATTCGACTCTCTGAGCTGAGTTGAATTACGTGTGCCACTGATGACCTTGGTCTCAAACGAGTAAAACGATCGTCCAATGTTTAGACCACTTTGATCTAGCTATCTAGGGAACACTCCTGGTTGACGCGAGGGGTACCCATCTGCTCACAGAGTGCTCTTAATTACACATTGTAGACAGTTAGTAAGTAATATGGTTCGAAATTGTCTTCAGTGACGATATATTCACCCTTCATCATCTATGAAATTCCAAATATTTTCTATAATTTTGCACAAATATTTTTTCACTTTAATTTCAATAAATTTGCGTCCACTTTTTTCCATAGTGTTTAATCAAGTATGGCCAGATGAACCAATGGACTGTGATGTTTTAATCCTAAAGTGTTGTTTCTACTGTGTGATGTACGTGGTTGTGTTCTCTGAGGCAGGTGGTTGAATTGCGAAGCTTCCATTATCTCTCTAGACAACATCTTCAGTGCTAACTTCAAAATGAAAGATATTGAAGGTGCAGTACTTGTAAGACGTGTAACTTTTTCACCTTGAAGTAAGCAGTGAAGACGTTGTCCAGAAGAGGTGGTGTGTGTTTGTGGGGGAGGGTCGGAGTAAAAAGCCTCACAATTAGACCACCTCAGTTTACTGTTCTGTAATGATCACTTCCCTGCCAAACTGAAGTATAAATATTTTCTTTTTTCTTGATATTTAACCCCGTTGTTTCTGTGAAAAATGTAATAATTTTTAGAAATTGGGGTGATGCAAAACACCTAGTTCGTGTATGCGGTATGGCAATCAATTCAGTGAATATAGACCATTCAGAATTGTTATTTCAAATTGTATTACGTGCAGTCGGTGAAATTGGATTACCTGTTAAACAGTATAAAGATATGACTGTGAAAATCAATTCACGTCGAGCACTACTCAAAGATTCAATGAAGGATGTTCAGTCGAAAAAGTCAAATATGGAGGTGAATCGTTTTTTTGTTTTTACTCAATAAGAAATCATTTACATACTCGTAATTTCTATTCTTTTTTTATTTACTGATTTGCGTTGGGAGTGGAAGATGGAGCTTTAAGGCTGAGCTTTGACTTTTCAGTAGTGGTGTTGTTTCTTTTCGGGGTGGGGGGTTTACTAACCTCAGACCTCAGCCTTCCCTCTCCACCTGGCTGATCGAATTTAGAAGTTCATCTGTAGGCCGGGAATTGGCTTGTATTGTCATTAATGAATAAGTGACTAATAAAAATGATGGAAGGAGGAGAGGATTTTTATGCTCAAGTGAGTGTTCTTAGTTTGGCTAGATAGTTTTGGTCTCTAAACAACATCTTCAGCTGCCCAATTGATCAGGTTTATCAAGCAATTAAAAAAGGAATGATGTATGCAAAAGGCCAACTATCACATGGTTAACATTATAAGAAGCAGTGCCAAAATAAAAGTGAACAAGAGGATGTGAAAATCTATGAATACGGACAATCACATTTTTGGGGTCGTTGTCATGAGGGGACGTTCACTGAAATCATGATTGCTGTCTAGAAAGACGTTTACAGCTTGGTATTTAGAACCAGTACTTGTATATCATTGTGTTTGCCATATCTTCAAATAAAATTATTCTATTACGGAATAATACTCTACCACATTGCCCAAATTCTACCCTTGTAATAATTGTCTGTTATGTTACTAGATGGTTGGAGGCAATCGCGGCAGGAAGCCCCTTCGACCTAGTTTTCGTGTTTGTTGGCATTTGTCAGCTAGATGTGTCTGCAGTCTTGAAGAGGAACTCATGCCCTTTCTGGGATTCGAACCTAGATTACTGGGGTACTGCAGTCAGACACGTTACTTCTGAGCTGTTCCGACTCTTGATTGATCTCATGTAGGACTGATTACTGACTAGTATCCAATCAAAGTGTCTAATGTGTCTTTTCTCACGTGAAAGATCAATCATGCATATCCATACTGTCGGCAATGAGCTGCATCAATAGTCTCTGAAGGCTTATTATATTGCCTGGAGTGGGTTTTAACCTGTGACCCACTACTGGTTGTAAGCCGAGCGCCTAGACGAATCAGTCATTGTGGCATATAATAAGGATGATAAACACTAATATGCATAGATAAATAAGTGAATGACTTTTTTTCTGTCCAAGAAAAACGTATCTCACCACTCACTTAACGAGACTTAAGTCAAGTGGTGAATATAATATCACACAGTAAGTCATTTTAGAGTAAACTAAGTCGGTTTGTTATGTGTAGCTCGACTTATCTAATCTCATCGATAGAAATCCAATCCCACTTTGGTGTATGCTACTAATAAGATTTGTCAGTAGTACATAAACAGACGGTCGTCGACTTTAAAACATCAAACCGCAGGGAGGTGGATTTGATGTCAGAGAAAGCAAATGGTACAGCGTTGCGGAGATACATGGGAAACGTGAAGAGAACACAAAGAAACGTAATACGAAAGAAGGACAGAAGTTAGCACAACACGGAAGATCTGAGCAAATGGTGCGCTGAAGATAAGGCGTACATAATTTCGCTATATAGCGATATCAAATTCCAAATAAACACTGCTTTACCAATTCTGTTATCTTCTACCGTTACTCCACTACCTAGTTTGTCATAGGCTCTGATGGTGTTTTCGTGATTTCTTATTACCAGATATGCCACGGTTGATGGGAGGGGATGGTACGCGAGAAAATGGGGTTGTGTGCAGAACTCGAAGACGTTTGTATGCTGTATGCATGAGCCCTGCCTTGATAATGTTTAGAAGTTAAAACGCTTTTTGTATCGGTGGTTCTGTGGTAGAAGGTTCGTCAATCGCGTATTTGGTCCGGTTTCGATTCCTGGCTGACGCGCTCTTAAAACTCATCGAGTTTCCGAGGTGGTAGAAAGCTCTGTAAAGCGAAAGGGTTGCGCGCGAGGTCGGAAGCCTCCTGTCGTTGAGAAACAACACCACCGCTACTGAAACATCAAAAACCATTCTGTATCGATTTCATAGCATTTCCTACTATATAGTCAGATTTCTATCATCTCATGCGATAGGCAGTATGCACTTTGATTGATCGTTGTGAAGTAATCATTCTCATATTATCTGGTCGTAATGCTGACTGACTTCTAGCATTTAAGTTTGTGACGTTGTCGTCATGCTAAGAAACTCGTCACCCCAGTGCTATGTGAATTGAAATTAAACCTTTTAGGCACTGGGGGACACAATTTCGAACTTTGAGGGCAGACAACAGTTCTTTCAAGATTGTGAGTATACTTCTCTGAAAAGTGCCAGTTAGTACGAAACCTCGCTACAGGGCTTCCTGCCCATCACCTCCAACCATCTAATAACAGCTATTCAGAGTGCACTGTGATAGTCAGCCAACTAGCATGACTGACAGAATTCAGTTTGCACCAAAGTATTTCTAAAAGTTTTAACAGCCCACTGGATGCCCTCAATATCAAGTCTGTATCAAATACAGTTTCATATGCAAGGGAGTTTATTGGTTTACGTTCTACACATAAAGTTAAAAGAATTAAACTAATCGGTCTTTGAGTTACATCACAAGCTGACATCAGTTAGAGAACCATTAAAAAAATATCCTCAGGGGTAGGGGAACTAGACAGCTCATTCATCTTAGCCTGCAATGACTCTTAGGCAATGCACACCCATGACCCTACAAGGGAATGAACTGAAAACCTCGTTGACTATTCATTCACTAGGTTGGAGTTCAAATCTCCGCTGAAATCTAACTTTTTTTCAATTCATAAACCAACTTCAAATTAAGAAATTTCTGAAAATCAAAACTTGAAAATGAATAGCTATCTATTGACCCTATGAGGGTTAATAATTCTTCCCAATTGCTAAGGCTGAAGTAAACGACGCGGGATTCGAATCTGTGACGTAGTGACTGAAAGTTGAACGCTTTAATCACGGAACGAACTACATCTTCATGGTATTTTATTGATTAAAGGGGAATAAAATCTCCGCAGAAGTATAGACAGGGTGATATTATTACTACTACTATTTACAGTTATCAGGTTGCTAATTCGCCTTTCTTATTTTATTATTCTGAAATCACTTAATAATCAGAAACCGTCAATTTTTTTCTTTCTTGTAGATTGTCGAGACGACACCGGAGAAAAATTTGTCTCATGCAAAGAAAAGAAAACTACCACAACAACAAAATGATTCTGGTCAATCAACACCTGCAAAAGTTAGTTGAAATGATGATTGTGGCTTTTGTGTTTTTACCAATTCAACTCTTCACTACTGTAACAGTGATTATTTCTTGATTTATTCATTTTGTTGTCTGTCATTACTTCCCCCTGACTGACTGAATGTTTTCAACGTCGATCTTTGCACAGGGGTGCAGCAGTTCGAGTTGCCACTCTCCCTCCATAAAGCAAGAGAAGAGAGATAATAAACAGAAATGTGAAGCAAACAGAATAGTAATATGGAAAAGCAATCGAATTTTATTGGTTATGATAAGTCACAGAGTGGATGCATCTGAATCATTGAGAACGATTTTGAGACATATCACCAATTGACTCCAGCTTTCATTGATTTTTACAATCCCGAGGACCTTAATCAGGAAGTCTACACCTCCCTACGTGTCTGGTTTAAACTAAATATCATGGATTTCATTGACTAATGAAGCCATATTTTGGTTTGACCACCAGTAGTTTTCTTTTTATTCCAACCTGATCCATGCTATGTTAGCTGACATTTCCCTGTTGGTCAACGAAGGCAACCAATGGCTAGGCATGGATGCGTAACGCATGTCTTAACCACCTCTCTCAATCCATTTAACTTCACAACCTCGTCGATTGATTTCCCCTCCTTACCTAGCACTCAACTGAAGCCTAACCTCACCTTACTATACTACTTGACACGGGGGATGCAACGCAGACACTTATGATCAAAGACAGCTAGCCTTTTCGTATCTTCCACTTTCAGTGGCCATGTCATTACCCCCTCCCCAAGAACATGATTTAAAGCCTATTAATGTTCTCATTAATCCCTTCGTTTCCGAGTGGAATATAGTGCTTCAACAGCACATCTCCATTTTGTCCTGCTCGTTGCATCCCCCTTAAGATGGCCTTACTATTGCCCATGGCCTCTGACCTCCCTCTTGTCACCTTCGGACGCCCCACTCGTCGTTTCCCATTTGGCTTCCACGTATTCGTTGAGCAGTAGGTTCTGGGTTGGTTCGTTGCCTGATCGAGTTCTTTGTTGCTTATCCTTTCTGGTCAGGTATCTGATTTTCAGTATGTAGCGAAGACAGTTGTCGATAAAAGTCTGAAGTCTGTGACGTGTGGCACGTCTCTGAACCATATAGAAGAACTGACTTTACATTTGAGTTGAAAACCTGGATCTTGTTCTAAATGCTGAGAGTGCAGCAGATTTTCATAGTGATTTCAGAGTAAGAAGGATCTTTTTTGCCTTTCTGATCCTGGTTGCTTTTGATACGCTCATCATTCACACCGCCTGTAGTTGAGATGATGCTTCCTAGATAAGTGAAAGAGGTAACCTCCTTTAGATATCACCGGTTTAAGGTGACTGGTTGTTGTTGTTGGTGGTGGTGGTTAGGTATCTTCATCACCTCCGTCTTCTCCATGCTCACTTGAACTCCTGTCTTTACTGCTTCTTCTGCCAACTTGTTGGTTTTCGCCCGTTAGTCTTCAATTTCGCATAACGTTAGACATATATCGTCCGCGAAATCCATATCTTCTAGAATCTTCTTATCGGTCTAACCTATCCTTGTCCTCTCGCTCCTCATGGTCGGTTGCATGGTCCAGTCTACCATAGTCAGCGATATCATTGATGATTATAGGCAGTCTTCACTTTAGAAGTTTTGATGAGTTTTCTGTTGTGAATCACTTGTGATATGTGACTGATTTGAATCCGTGGTCAAACTCGTGAAAAAAAATCTAATCCTTACAAACCAACTCTTGAAAATTAATCTAAAGCTCGCTAGTGACTTGCTACAGGACGGAGTTTCCTGGAGTAAGTTCTAGTGAGATGTCGTGACCAGTGAGGTTCAACCAGTCAAGTGTGTGAGGATGGATTTCCCACCGATGACATTGGTGGTTGGTGGTCGTGCTAAATCACGAACTGGTATAGGTTAGAATTCATGTACTGGCCATTGAATGGGGTCCCAGTGACCGAATGGTATACGAGCCAGCTTGCCTTGTAACCGGAAGGTCCTGGGTTCGAACCCCACTGAGGTGGGTGCGTACTGTCGATGATTCCCAAACTAGGGGGGGTTGAAACAGCTGTCCAGTACTCCCTGATAGTTTTCAATGGTTCTCTAACTGATATCAATCCATGATCAACTCGTAGAAACATAACTAACCCTTACAAATCATTCAATACTGGCTCTAATTTATAAAAGTGGTTTTTCCAAAGTAAAGGTCTTATGCTCGGTATATCTGTGTAGGTGGACAGGCTCACCTTGTAACGTCTAAAGGTTTTGGGCTGCATCTCTTGTGAGGACTCCCGAACTAGGATGATATGGATAAGCTGTCCAGTCCCCTCCCTCCTCCTCACCCCGGGTTTCCTATGGATCCATATTTTGATTATCATTAAAGAGCAAATATTTCTTATTGTTTTTGGTTATCAATTTTATATGCCTTTTTTCTTTCCTCCTTCTTTTCAATAAAAGATGTCAAAAACTGATTCACAACACTTGCCACATGGTGAATTTGTTCCACACGATCCAGCGAAAAATGACTTGACTGTATTTGTTAGTAATCTGGATTATTCAACGACTGAAGATCAATTACGAAAGACATTTGAAAGGGTGAGTGCTTCTATTGATTTTATTTATTGATTTTTTTAATAAGCATCAGTCTTGTAGTCATGAGTAGTGTAAGAATGTCATTGTAAATTCAAATGTAGAATGATGTTCATGTTGAGGCAGCTGGTCCATATCGACTCACTGTTTAAGCCTAAAGAGTGAAATGGCTGAGAAGGTTGATGAGTTTGACTATCGACGAAGTTATATCAGCCCTAATATGATTCGACGAAAAGACTGTTTTTAAGCAATGGGTACTAAACAAAGAGTACTCTTTTCGATAACTTCATCATCAGGCTCTACAGTTATATATACGCATTATAGCGAATGAATGAATTAGTGTTATGAACAACATTAATGTCGTTGTTTAAATAACATCAAATCAATAATATTGATAGATTACAGCTGAACAGCATCAACATAAAATAAACTGAATGTCAGAAAAATTGGGAAAGATAATATTAAAAATTCATGAATATATAGTCTCTACTGAAGGCCGGCCAGGGCAGTAGTAGGGGCTAGCTGGACTTGCTTCTTTTGCACACAGAGCACTGGTTGTTTGAGGCGACTTGGAATAGCCTCTGCTGTTTGGAGTATGCGGTGCTTCGATGATTTTGGCAATTTATTAGGCACCCGGCAGACTATAGAGAAGGATTCTTCCACGCTGGCTTTGTGGCTGGTTCGCACCAGATGGTCCAATATCGAACTGTTGATGGTTTTAACTACACCTTTACTTAGCCATAGTGGGAGATTTTCTCGAGCACGAAAAATTAAGTTCCTAGAGCAACGGCCAATATAACTTGCTCCACAAGCGCAGTTGAATTGGTAGATACAATTTGAAGTGGCTATTCTAGGTACTTCATCTTTCAGTCGAGATAGCACCATCGGTCGTGTGGAGAATAAGGAGTTTATTATGCAATATATACATCATATATTTTAATGGAAGTTTTCCAGGAATAAAATGCTTGATAAGTAATTATATTTTAATAGGTTAAAAAGGGCTACAGAAGCTACTCCTTTTTATATAAGACAGTCTCTGTAACAGAATAAAAGTTATCTTTATCAAGAATGATTCAATCATACGATGGATAGCTAACAGAGGGGTTCGGTTAGCTATTAAGTGAGTTTGTTGTACTCTCTATCCATTTTTGCTAACCAACCTTTCAAACATTCTCTCCTTCCTGGGTTTACGAATAAAATAGAAAATCCAATCAACTCTACTTCACACGGTATCTAAATAAGTTCATCTGTATTTGTGGAGACACATTGTCGTCTGAAAGAACATGTTCTGAATAATAATTATTAAACCCCAATGCATTTAGCCTGAATAGAAGTCCAGCGTCATTCGTTACAAGATAGTTAATAATATCTGGGTCAAGATTAGGATAACTGCCATCTACACACATGTTCCAGGTGGTTCGATTGCCGGTCGACGCACTCCTTAACCACACTTAACTGTTAATAAGCCTGATAGGGTGGATTTTTAGCTTGTGAGGCGGTTAACAATCATATCCCGTCGAGACACTGCTGCTATCGAAACTTCAAGCTTTATAGTCCATTCGGAACGTAAGAAAATGGAATGAAGTGAATCTAGTTGCAAAATGTATTCATACCAATCAGTGTGTGTGTGTGTGTGTGTGTCAATTATTTTGCATAACCTTAGTGTTCAAGGTTATGATGATTATTAAAATAAATTAATCACATGCATCCTAAGTAAGAGCTACGAAGAATACCAGACTTCAACCTTCACGCATACCATGGTCTACTTTGACCTAGAAAAATCACATTGGCTATTGTATTCATACTTTTATTTTATATAACTGATTAATTCAAGCAAGTTTGATTATGAATGGATATCGGCAAAGTTAAACTTTAAGCACCACTAACTACCAATCATCAGCGAATGACCTAGAACGCACCAATCAAGTGAAGGAGGCATTTTTGTGTTTGAAAAAAATGCATGAAAATGGTAGAAAAGTATTACAGAGGATCCCTTCCTCTGGCATGTAATGAATGAGAATAGCTCTCAGTTTTAGGTTGGAGTATCAACAGAATATAATTCCACTGTGCGTAAAGTTTGTTTTCATAAAGTCTCATGGGGGAGCGGGGTAATACAGTAATATTTCCTGAGCAAATAAATTGTGGTCAGAACGCCATCACAGTAAATATTACTGTATAACACCCTGAAACTTTATCAGTGGAATTATACTCTACCTCCACAGTGCACAAGTACTATTCTTATATATTAACAGAGTAATTTAACCAGGTTCTATGCAATGTAATTATTTAGGTCTTCTAAGCCTAATCTTTCCTGAACCTAACCGCTTACGTAAAAATGTCCCTAAACTAACTGTAATCTAGCTCGAACCAACCCTAATGTTGCCTTTATTAGGTTAACCTAATCCCAATTTGTCCTTGGCCTGCTCAGTGAGGGTTTCAAAGTCAATGGTGTGGTCGCGCCCTGCATTGGTAGATTGTGGTGCTGAAAGTTTAACTCGGCCTGGATATCAGTTAAAGATTCACTGAAAACCAGCAGCGTGTACTTGACAGCTGTCTCATCCCAGTCTGGGACTCATCGTCAGTTTGCACCTACCGGAGGACACTTAGTTGCCTGTAGTTCTTCTAGTGAGAAGTTGTGACCAGTAGTGGGTGATGGATGGCACTGAAATCACGAATTGGTAAAAATTAGAATTCATTGCATTGGGTGACTACTAAATTGGGTCCCAGTGGCTGAGTAATAGTCTAAGACGTTGAGTTGTAAACGGAGGATCCTGAACTCGAATCTTGGTGGTGAGCTCGCGCTGATGATGAGTCCTGAACTTGCACGAAACAGCTGGCTGATTTTCAATGGTTCTCCAGCTATTATTATAAATCTGTGACCAAGCTTGAAACTGACTAATTGTCAAACCTTTTATTGCTGCCAGTCATTTTGGTGGGTAACACAGCTATAGGAAAGCTGTAAAATGATATCACCTCATAATACTATTTGTCATCTGAATGCCTTATTCAAGTTTAATTTATATTACCTGTTTCTTTGTAACACAGTACTAATTAAATCAATTTTGTTTTACAAGAGTGTTTTTTCATTACTTTTTTGTGTTCCGAATGATGAAACATTGGGCTTCAAGGTCTTACAGTTTCAGTAGATGTTCTTGTTGTTTTTACAGGGGGTGGTAGAGTTGCTAGCTGCACACCTAGCTAGCCTTTCCTCTTTTTCTGTCGGTTTGTAAACTGGAAGATATTTCAAAGTGTGTGTCCGTCGGGCGAGAATCAAACCTGAATCTCCTGCGTGATCATCGCGAAGCATTGTATCACTGATGAACTATCAACGCTAAGTGTATACCCTTCTGTAAATCTCTTATAACTGAGAATAATATCAGTACTAAGATTCAGATTTATCGGTAACTGTTGAATCTCTTATGGCTGGAACGATAGTCGAGTGAAATAAGCAACTAGACTGACTTACGGAATACGACAGTTCCCTCATATAAGTTAGTTTCAGCGATGAAGGTAAGACTTTAGGTTGGTTCAACATTGGTAGAATGCTTACTGACCCACTCAAGTGGTCCGTGATTCTATCTCCGACCGATGCATTCACAAACGTCGCTTAACCAGTGGTAATTCCGGAGAAGAGGGAAAGTTGGCTGTAAAATCTTCTACCGAAACTTAAAAGCTAAAGCTTGAATACTACGTATGTTCGACTCAGAACGCAAAGGATTAAAAAGCATCTGGTTATACAGGGTCCAAGATTAGGTCAATGGTTTTCGAATCCTATTTTCAAAAAATCTTCTGTCTCAACAGCTGTCAACTTGATGAATTGCCCATCCTGTTTAATTAAAGTTGGGTTTTATAAAGGCTATAAATTTGTAAATCCATCTCTGTGTATTATTTTGCTTTATTTTTGCCTTTGTTTGATAATATTCAGTGTGGTGAATTAACCTCTGTTCGCCTTGTTCGTGATTATGCTGGTCGATCTAAAGGATTTGCTTATATTGAATTCAAAGATAAAGATTCGGTAACCGCCGCGCTCGCATTAGATAGACAACCAGTTGAAAGTGATGAATGCTTTGAGAATAATGCTTCATCAAATCTTGACAATAATTTACAAGATGAAAAAGATCAAGGAACAACAACGACGACGACGACAACGGTGGCAGAATCTTCAAAATCATCGACACCCTTTAAACGACCAATGTTTGTATCGATCTGTGATCCAAGTAAAGTAAAAGCCTCTGGATTCAAGTATACAGTTGGTAAAAAAGAACCAGAAAAATTGTTTGTACGAAATTTAGATAAAAATGTAAAAACTGAAGATTTAGTGAGATTATTTAGACCGGTTAGTTGGTTGGTTTCTATGTATCTTCGTTTTTGCATTAATCCGATATCTTTCTTTTTTGACTGGTAGGTAATACATAAAACTACTCTGATCGCTAATCACAGCGTCAACTGCTAGCACACGAAGATACAAGAAGGCTGTTTCTTTGTCTCAGACCACAGTTGTGAAGGATACTGAATAATTTAGGTTCCACTGATAAGTCCAAAGAATTAGCAATCAGTGAGAGCCCAGCCTGTCTATTTTCGACATAGAACTTTGCACATATGTGCGGCAGTTCAAGTCGCCACACTCCCTCCTTGTAGCACACAAAGCAAGAGAAGAAGAAAGTAGGAGAAATGCATATTAGAGAGAGACAGTAAACAGAGGTGTGAGACAAAGGAATAGTAATAACGAAGAACAAAACAGTTTCATTGGAAGTCATAAGTCACAAGGAGTGGATGCATCCGCGCCAACCATTGAGAACGATTTTGAGCCATGTCACCAATTGTTTCCAGCCTTCATTGGTTTTAATGAAAACAAAACACGTAGATCAGCGAAGAGTCTCTTTTCGGCGAATTCATCTTCTTAGCTGTACAATCGCAAATATATATGCATTGTTTTGTATGTATGTGTACATTAAGTTTGTCAAACGAAGTTACAATTGGTTAAGGTTAATTTTAACTAAACAAGTGAAGGTTGGTAATACAGGTCAAGAAAACTAGGGTAGTAACAAAGGTGATGAGTTGTCAGAAACAGTTGTAATAATAATAGTGAGTTTTACTCAGGATGCACATAGAAACAAAGTAGAAATTGTGTAAGAGATCTAAGTGGATACAAGAATTACAATTGCTTAAGGTTATTTTAACTAAACAGGTAAAGGTTGGTAATATAAGTCAAGGCAATTAAGTGCTAGGATAGTAACAAAGGTGATGAGTTGTCACAAACAGTTGTTAAAAGAAGTTATGCAATAATAATATGAATATTTTGATGAGTGAGTTTTACTCAGGATGCATATAGAAACAAAGTAGATAATACGAAACTATGTAAGAGATCTAAGTGAATACAAGAATTATAAGCAACTAAGGAACAGGCAAAGAAACAAAGTTAAGTTATCAGAATAAAATAAAATAAAAATAAAAACATTGTTACCATGAGAGTAGAAGTCAAGGAACTCAATGGGTTTCTGCGGTACACTGTCAAGCTTGCTGTGGGGAAAGCGAAAGTTGCCTTTTTCGAGGATTGCGTCTCTAATCATCAGTATCCAAAGTGGTTCTGGAAAGCACTTCGACGCAATCATATATATCCAAATACGAAGTCCCTTCAACGCCATGCAATGAATTGTGCTGATTCTATCAGATCACGTATGCCCGAACTGCAGCGGAATATCAATCAGAGGTCCTCTGCCTTATACGAATTGACTTCGGACGAATGTCAAAGATTCAATGAATATATCAACTTGGTTGCAAATAAACGATCGCAGTCCGTTGTAACCCAGCTCAACAACAGCCTAAAGCAGATGAAACCTCAAGGCAAATTTCCTGACGAACCCACGAAGTTTGTGTTCAATTATTCCTCAGTACCTTTAACCGACGTGCAACTGGAAGTTCTATCTCTGGGCCCTAAATTCTGCGATATAAATTTCAACGCCGACAAACTCCATACTCAGGTCCAGTTTGAAAATCTAATCAGCCAAACGCACGATCTCAGCCCAACTTCTGAAGACGAATTACAGAGATTCAAGTCAACAATAATGGACTGCTGCCATCAATACTTGAATACAAAATCAAAAGTCCGCAACCACCTGACGAAGCGGCACCGAGAGGAATTAAAACAGTTGAGAGATAACAAAGATCTGCTTATAACTCGGCCCGACAAGGGTGCTGGTGTAGTGCTTCTGAATCGAAGAGACTACATCGAGAAAATGAACGATATACTGTCGAATGAAGACAAATTTTCCCAAGCTTCCAATGAAAGAAACAAGACGGAACAGATTGAGAAGCAGCTCACAGACGTCTTGAAGAGAATGAAGGCCAGTCAACTAATTAGTGGGGATATTTACGACCAGATCCGGCCAACAGGTTCAGTAATACCAAGACTTTATGGTCTACCAAAGGTACACAAGGTTGGTCTCCCACTTCGCCCAATTCTGGATATGTCAGGTTCCCCTTACCACTCTATTGCACAATGGCTAGCAGATATTCTGGAACCTGTAAGGAAGCAATTATGTACGCACTCACTCCGTGACACCTTCCAGTTCATCGAGTGCATACAAGACACGAATGTATCTAACCAAATTATGCTATCCTTCGACATCGAGTCACTCTTCACCAATGTCCCACTCACAGAAACGGTCTGCTTCATATGCAGATATATAGATGACAACCACCTCGATATTGGAATACCGACAACATACTTGAAAGAATTATTATTGAGATGCACTCTGAACGTCCAGTTCACATTCAACGACACCATCTACAGACAAAAGGATGGTATTGCAATGGGATCTCCGTTGGGTCCACTACTATCAGACTGCTTCGTGGCAAGCCTCGAGAGAGGTTCACTAAAGTCAAGTATCGACAATTTGCAACTGTATAAAAGATACGTGGATGACATTTTCATTATTTGTGACAACAACAACGACCCCAATCTACTGCTGAAGACATTTAACGATTGCCATCCAGCAATAAAATTCACTCTTGAAATGGAAAACGAGTCAAAAATTCCGTTTCTTGATGTGGAACTGACAAGAAGAGCTGATGGGAGCCTAAGAAGATCAATCCATAGAAAACCTACGTGGAATGGTCAACTAACAAGCTTCTATAGCTGGGTGCCCATTCAACAAAAGCGGAATTTAATTAAATCACTTGCTTCCCGCATCCGACGCATCTGTAGTCCCGACGTTGTGGAAACAGAATTAGATATTCTGAGAGAAATATTCATCCAGAATGGTTACCCAATAAGATTTATCGACAAAAATATGAAACCAATAATTCGGAAAAACGAAACTTTGACTGCGCCTAAAAAGAAAATCTACATGAACTTGGATTTCAAGGGAGATTTAGCAAGCGATATTCTCAAGAGAAGGATCACATCATCTCTGAGAAGAACATTCTTTGCAGCAACGCTAAGAATAGTGTTCTCCAGTCGCCCACTAATCTGCAGAAGCCTCAAGGACAAGATCCCGCATCTGGCCACTTCTATGTGCATATACCAGTTCACCTGCTGCTGTGGAGCCAGGTACATCGGTCGTTCGACGCGCATCCTGTCCAAGAGGATTCAAGAACACTATCCAGCATGGTTGCGAAAAGGCAATACTGGTGCAATAAGGAGTGCGATAATTGAACACCTGGTCAGCACTGATCATTGCATTTCAACGAACGCCTCCTTCAAAGTAATCTACAGAGTCAAGAACAACCTATCAAAGGCAATACGGTTTCGTCTCCTCTGTATCGCTGAAGCTCTAGCCATTCACATGGAAAAACCGGAGCTGTGCATACAAAAGAAGATTACTCAACCACTTCTACTCTCATGGTAACAATGTTTTGATTTTTATTTTATTTTATTCTGATAACTTAACTTTGTTTCTTTGCCTGTTCCTTAGTTGCTTATAATTCTTGTATTCACTTAGATCTCTTACATAGTTTCGTATTATCTACTTTGTTTCTATGTGCATCCTGAGTAAAACTCACTCATCAAAATATTCATATTATTATTGCATAACTTCTTTTAACAACTGTTTGTGACAACTCATCACCTTTGTTACTATCCTAGCACTTAATTGCCTTGACTTATATTACCAACCTTTACCTGTTTAGTTAAAATAACCTTAAGCAATTGTAATTCTTGTATCCACTTAGATCTCTTACATAATTTCTACTTTGTTTCTATGTGCATCCTGAGTAAAACTCACTATTATTATTACAACTGTTTCTGACAACTCATCACCTTTGTTACTACCCTAGTTTTCTTGACCTGTATTACCAACCTTCACTTGTTTAGTTAAAATTAACCTTAACCAATTGTAACTTTGTTTGACAAACTTAATGTACACATACAAACAAAACAATGCATATATATTTGCGATTGTACAGCTAAGAAGATGAATTCGCCGAAAAGAGACTCTTCGCTGATCTACGTGTTTTGTTTTCATTAATGCCTGGATGGGGATTATCCATGAATTCATTGGTTTTTACCGTCTCGAGGACCCCAACCAGTTAGGAAGTCTGCACCTTCCTACGTGGCTTAGACTAACTGTTGTAGATTTCATTGACTGGTGCCATGTTTTCGTTTGACCACCGCTAGCTCTTTTCCAGTGTGAGAGAGTGAGAGCCCAGTCTTCACAAGGAGTGACTTTTACAAACAAGAAATGTCACACAAGGATGTAAACATTTCATTAAGTCAAGTAAAATTATTACAGCTTTGATCATGAGCTGATATCACTGAAAAATCAAGTGGTACTGGATAATTGTTTCGTCCTATTCTGGGGTTCTTCAGTAGTAGTACAACCAACCGGCCAGTGTTGGAACTGAGGACCTTCCGATTACACAGCTAGCTGGTGGACCATTCAGCCACCGGGACCTGGCTCTTGAATTCCAGATTCTGCCGATTCACGGGATGCATAAAGCCGCTGAATGTCAATAGCGAGTGACTGTTCTCAAATGCCTACAAACCAATACTTAGTAATTAGAGTGATTCTCATTAGTGACTGACTCTGTACAGGAAGTTACTTGGATTTCTAGTGGGAAAACGTGACCAGCGGGGTCCACCAAGCGGGGCAAGACAAAAGTTACTTGCTTGCGATAGTAGCTGGCAGTTACATTAAATACAGTATCATGAATTGGTGTAAGTTGGAATTTATCGCCTGGCCATTGGGTGAGGTCTCATTGGCGGTATTGTCTACGAGCTCACCATGTAACTGGAAAGTTCAGCGTTTGAATCCCGGTAGGTGTATACTGATGAAGGGTCACAACAACTATCCAGTACTGCCTGATTTGCCACTGGTTCCGTAAGTAGTGATATCAGCTTGTGATGTAACTTGTTTTCAATAGACACACACCCTGGAAACCGACATTTGATCGAAATTGAGACCACATTATGGATGGTATTCCAATTGTAATCAGTGTATATCTGGCTTCTGAAATGATGTTCTGTCGACTGTATTGCAAGACTCATATGGCTGTATATTTCCACTTTCACTCAAATAGTCGTCATGAAGGTTTGTTTAGGGTATACTGTATGAAAGAAAGATACATAACTGAACATTACTGTGACTGTTTCTTTGAGTTACCTTCATGACAATACCATTGGTGTTGATTGATGGAAAAGGAAATTCAGGTGTCTTAATTCGTGCTGAGAATATTATTGTATAGCTTTTGTTCATGCGGTTATTGTCGACGTGATGCAGTAATGATTGATGTTTTAACACCCGAAAACCTCCGTGGTCACTGGATTCATTATCTTGAAGTTATCTGTTTCGCGTTGGATAACAGTACAATCCAGAGCACGCATTTCATTTCCATTTGGGACTTGTCACAATATAAGTATTGCTGTTCTCGCTGAGACTCGAATCCAGTAGCCATCGCTTCAAAGTGGGATTGATCACTCTTGGCCATATATGCCAAGAGTTAACTGTCGTCGTTAAGTTGACAACATTTTGGCGTTTGAAACGACGAGTACTGACCACCTAGTGTATCGGTAGTGAGACTACTGTTACTCGCTGTGGATCTAGGGACATCCAGATGACGAGTCCTAAACATGATGAAATACGCCTCATGGATATAAGAATAAAACTTGGGCACTGTGGTAGAGTGTAATTCCATTATGGGTAAATTTTATTTTGATAGAGTCTCACAGTGTTATACAGTAATGTTTACTGATGACGCTTCAGCTATGCCTCACATCTACTATCTTTAGATTCCAAGGCAAAATATATAGACAAACTGAAGGTGTAGCAATGGGATCACCAATATCCCCTATCGTAGCAGATATATTTATGGATAGCTGGGAAAATATGGCACTTAATACGTTTAATCCTACTCCAAAAATATGGTGGAGATGTGTGGATGACACTTTCACAGTGTTAAAAACAGAACATATCTCTAGCTTCTTGACACACATAAACTCACTAGTGGAGGGAATAAAATTCACATTTGAAACCGAAAATGAGCAAGGAGAATTAGCTATGTTAGATTGTAAAATAAAACGAATAGAAGAAGGCAAACTACACACTAGTGTTTACAGAAAAGCAACGCATTCTAATAGATATTTAGATTTTAATTCATCTCATCCTTTAACTGTTAAGGCAGGCTTAGTTAAGTGTTTAACAAACCGAGCAATGGCACTAAGTAGCACAAAAAAAGACCTAAATGATGAAATAAAACAGATAGAAGAGGCGTTGGTTCTAAATAACTATCCTCTAAAATTCATTAGGAAGATTGAAAAACGCCAAAAGAAAAATAAAAAGAATTGTGAAACTGGTAATAATAACATAAATAAGAGAGAATATAAGTCATCTACAGTTATACCATATAAAGAGGGGACATCTGAGACCCTACGTAGGATTCTAAATAAAGCAGGAATTAGGGTGGCATTTAGACCTACAAACTCACTCAGGGACAAGCTCTGTAGGTTAAAGGACCCAGTGGACCCAATTAGACAAAATAATATAATTTACAAAATACCCTGCAATGACTGTGAGGTCAACTACATAGGTCAAACTAGTAGGTCAGGGGTAGTCAGATTGTCAGAACATAAGAATTTAGCTAAGGTAAGAATGGTTGACCCAGAGAAGATAAGTAATTTAGAAAAAAGCTCGGCAATTGCACTGCATGCATTAACACACAACCACACAGTTGAGTTGGTGGGAGAGGGTTAAAATTCTAAAAAGTAATCTAGGAAGGTGGAGAGAGAGGTTGATTACTGAATCTTTGTTCATCGAATCTACACCCAACACATGCAATAGGAATGAATCATCACTCATACGTGAAATATGGAAAATAATACTACCAATCAAATCAAGTGCAAAATCAAGTGAAAAACAATGGAACTGTATAAATGAATTTAGGAAGTCGTGTGATTAACTTGATATGATTATGAGCAATAAATTGTGCTCGAAACGTCATCAGTAAACATTACTGTATAACACTGTGAGACTCTATCAAAATAAAATTTACCCATAATGGAATTACGCTTCATGGATTTCAGTGCTAACCATTTTATCGACCAGATAACATGGGGATTCATTACTCAGTTGTTCATGATTTGTCACTCTTGAATAACTGGATATGTGTCATGAAAGAACTTTTATGCATTTGTCACATTATTGAGCTTGTGAATTGAGGCTTCTTTTGTTTGTGTATTTTTTGTCAATCCACCATTTACTCATGATTAATTTCTACTTATTTTGGTATCGTTTATTTTTCTTTCAGTATGGACTTGTAAGTATTCGTCTAGCCACCTATCGAAATGGTGTGCCTAAAGGTCATGCGTATATTGAATTTAAAAGTGCTGATGATGCCAGTCGAGCGTTGATTGCTACCGATGGTTTACAGTTTGGTAGTAAAGTGCTGTCAGTAGCTATTAGTGAACCACCTGTCCGCCAGGATGCATCTCAAAGCTTTAAACCGCCTACAATGAAAAGCAATGAAACATTTAAAACACCGCAATCAGATTTTACTGGTGGATCTTCCGCGTAGGTTTCAACCTTTTTCTAAAAAAATAGTGTTTGTTATGATGTTTTGGTTTTTCCTAAAATGGGATTCAATTATGTGGAAAAAAACACCCGTTGTTTTGTAAACCAAGTAGGGAAGTGTAGACAGTCTGGATTAGTTGAGGTCTCCGAGACACTAAGAACCAATTATTATTATTATTGTTCCCTTGGGTTCCTAGTGGAACATAGGGCTTCAACTACACGTCTCCACTAGTTTCTGTCTTCTGCTGTACTTTTCACCAGCATCCATGTTAGTCCATACTGTTTCAAATCCTCTTCACACGATCTCCTCCATGTCACCCTTGGACGACCTACTCGCCACTTCCCTTTCGGGTTCCACTCGAGCACTGGCCTGACTCTCGATGTCACACAGTGGCCTCCTCAGCGAGTGTCCAATCCATCTCCACTTTCTCCTGCATATTTGTTGAGCGATTGTTTCTTGTTTTGTTTGTTCCCATAGTTTCTTGTTGGTTCTTGTTCTTTCCGGCCATCTGATCTTGAGTATAGAGCGAAGACAGTTAGTTGTTGATAAAGGTCTGCAACAGGCTGTTGGAAATATTCTTTGTGACCCACTGGCCAAGATTCTGATCCGTATAGAAGAACTGACTGACTTGACGTTTGTATTGAAAATCCGAATTTTGTTGTTGATGCAGGCTGAGTGACGAAGATTTCCAGATTGGTTTCAGATTGATGAATGTGTTTCTCGCCTTCCCGATTCTCGATTTGACATCCTCGTCCGTTCTGACTGTCTGTAGTTGAGACAATGCTCCCTAGATAAGTGAATGAAGTAGCCACTTTCAAATCCCTCCCGTTGATGGTGATTGGCGCTGGATGTTGCTGCTGTTGTTGTTGCTGGAGACTATTTTGTGATTTGGTTCATAATTGTTCTAAATGATGCAGATGCATCCACCTTTTTTAGTCTACCAGATTCACTAAATTCTCATTATTCTCCGTGTATTAGTTATTATTATTATTATTATAATTATTATTGGCATCCAGAGATGTGCTACACAAAATTCTATAGTTGGTGCGAGACCTGCCATACTGCCCGGACCCCAGATTGAAGCTGGCGATAAGGGACGGACTCCTCTTAGCCTTTGACTTGAAGTTTGATCCCCAACGTGGAGGTTGAGCTGCGTCCCCATGGTTGCTAGTGACTGAAACAACTTTAATGTCCATTCAATTCGTCCGAATTCTGGAGCCCATGTAAACCATAAGTTTGATATCAGGGTTTTGCAGCTCTCTTAGATAAACCAACCTGTGCATCACTAATCCAGTTGTAAGCGCTAGACGATGTCATTCGCCGTTTCACTTATGTGAGGAATATCCCAGCTGTGGTGTGAAGGCAGTGAATAGGACTCATCTGGTAGGTGGAGAGTATGGACGCTTCGCCACATGACAGCATTTCGTTTATATAGGGCAAACCCTTTAATCATTCTTCCATACGCTTCCACTCACAATGTTTCTCTTACATGCTATAGGCAATGTGGTATATTATAATTTTGATCACGGACTGATATCAATGTACAATTTTAACATACTTTTGTCGATTAACATGCAGGTTGTAAGAGCATCTTAGTGGAATAAAACATCAGGATATATATATATATATCTTGTTGGAGAGAAGTTTCTCAAACAGTTAACTGACAAATTTGTTGTCGGGGGGATAACACAAATTAGTAACAATTGCGCAGTTAGATAAGAGGAGATTAAATCTCGGTGTACAAGAGGTCTAATAAAAAGGTGAGTAGAACTCAGTAGGTTAGGAAAAATTGCTTCTTATGAAAGTCGAGCGGAAAAAGGGAAGTGGAAAGATATGTTAATAAAATTGAAAGACAAAGAGTTACTAAGGGATTAGTCAGTCACCAGGGTAATTCAAGTCCAACGTCAGACTTTTTTTCGATACATTGGTCACGTTTCAGCCATTTTTAATGCGATAGCCTCACCAAACTGAAGAAGACTTGAACAACTATTTTGTGTGTTAATTATGTTTGAATGATCCCAACATGACTACTCGATGTTTAGTGATTGAAGAGATTAAACTGTTTGATCCGTTTTAGCCGGATGCTCCTTGTTGTTGCAATGTGACTGCGCTGTCGCAGATACTTGTGGATTGGTATACAACACAGTTGGAGGAGAAGACCGAACTAGATGGTAGCCAGTGTGAGATGACTGTGTAAACTCACAGTTACGGATCATTCACACACATGACATCTGGAAATTATCCATAGTGACGGCGGATATAATCATGACCTGAGTTAGAGGTCGGGTCAAGTAGCTCAGCTGGTAGGACTCTGAACGACTGATTCAGAGACCACTGGTCTGAGTCTTGTCACGACTCAAATTTTCATAGCATATGTGGATGTGTTGTTCTCTTTTTTCTCAAGTTAAATTTTAATCAAAATGAGCATTAATGTACACACTTTTTATTTTTCTTGTTTTGTAGACGAAAATCTCGGACACAATTGGAATTTCTACCACGTGCAATACATCGTACACATGAAAGTCAAGCCGGCAGTGATCAAACAGAGTCTTCTGATGATAAAAGCGAAGTTAAATCATCTCCTGTTGATAACACTAAAACTAATGAATATTTTCGAAAACTTTTTATGAAATAATAATGATGGCAATAATAATAATAATGATAATGATAATAATATATTCATGTAAAGCCACTTACTTTTATATTCCAAAATTGTCTTCTTCTTTATTTATCTCGACCGATTATCCTGTTTCGTAAGGTTTTTTTCTTTCCTGAGAATTGACAGTGAAAATTTGTAGTATTAGAGAAGACGTTTTCATGACCCCAGGTAGATTATTTCCAATGCCTTCATGTTGCGGGAGGGGTGGGTACTACTCATTACGGAACTAGTGACATAGAGGTTCACCTGTTGGGGTTAAAAACTGCTTGATTGCGAGCCTATGATGTACATGGGTCCCAAAATCCCAAAGGATCGAATCGCGTACGAACGAATCTATTTCGCTCACCGGTGTAACCATGAGAACGTAAAGCCTAATGCTTCTTCATCACTTCTTTGTCCAGCAAACTTCAAGTCAAAAGGTTGAGGTTCCCCCCCCTCTAAGACCATCACCATCACCACCACCATCTGCTTCGGTCTTGGCGTTCGCGTACTATCCCAGCTATCGTACTAACTATGAGACTTTGTGTGTGTGCGTGTGTTTGTCGCTTCTCTTGATGCCCAGAATGTGTACCAAGTTTTTGCCTAACTACTACTAATAGTAATACAGTTGAATGTAATATGAGGTGATAGTAGCAGATGCCTTATTCCATCATGTCGGTGGCATAGCGGATAGGACGCTCGCTGACCATGCACATGGTCCGGGGTCCGATCCCCGGTCGACGACACACTCCTTTACCTCGCTAAGCCAAAAATAATGCTGGTGAAGAGGAAAGGTTGGGCATGAGGCTAGCCACCCATCCTGTAAAATGAACACTGCTACAGAAACTTCAAGCCACTAGCTTGAAGCCCTATGTTCCACTGGGGAACGTGAAGGAAAAAGAAATTCCATCATGTCAACAATCTAAGTGATTGTGTTGTGATTTTTAATTCTTATAAAATTTAAAGAAGTCTGTGGCATTTCGCTCACTTATTGATTAAACTAGTCCTGTAGAGCGAGGGAGAGAGAGGGAGCTGTACTCGTGGTTTACTTGTTTAACACTCCTATGCCCAACTTTATAAATGTCCAGTTCATGATTCTTTTGCATGTGATCAGTGCTAAGAATGCACTTCTGATTAGATTCGTAACCGGGATGATATAAGTTAAGGCGGAACTGTGAAAATGCGTTGTTTCAATTATTCAAGTATTGGATTTTGTAGGGATTTTGTTTGATTGGTTGGAGGATTTCATCGAAGAAGACATTGTGAAGTGGTCGCGCTATGTCATCAATTAGCAGAAGTTAGAATTCATGGGCTAGCCATTGGATTGGGTCCCAGTGGCTGAATGGTCAACCAGCTCGCTAGCCTTGTAACCAGAAGGTCCTGGGTTCGAACTATGGTGGTGGGTGCGTAATGATGAACAGCCTCAAACTAGACTGATGAAACAGCTATCCATTATTCCCAGATTTCAATTTTGTACACTCAATTATGTAAAAAATGAGGCATATCGTCCGTCTACTTACCCATTAATTCACAGTGGGTAAAGGAAATTTTGAACTATCAGTGCATTTTTTCCAACAATCTACAGTCATTCGCTTAAGTTCGGTCACCTCAGTTAACTTTCTGACTAAGTAGCTTAGCCAGTATTAAGCCCGTTAAAGACGGATGGTTAGGCGTGAGGCTAGCAATCCTATCCCGTAAAACAACAATAGTGTCACTGGTGTAGCTTGAAACCTTATCTTCCACTGAGAAAGCAAAGGAATAAGAAAAAAATCATTTATTTCCACGAAACACTTAGTGTCTGTAGCTCAATGACTCAGTTCATTCTCAGGTTTTTATGCTGGTGCGCGCTGAAGGCTTGATGAATAGCTAAGAATAAAGCAAACCTTATTGGTAAGTAGGAAGTGTGTAGTTTCAGTGTGAGAGGAAATGAGCGTGGACTTATGAAGTAACGAGTTGAGGTTGGTCTTCACATAAATACACCAAGCATAGGAAGGAACAGAAATGCAATGATACTACAGCAGTTAGATAAAGATCTGGCGTACAAGATGACCAGAAAAGATCATACGGGATTTTGATGTATTTGTGTTCTCAGAGCTGGATGGTTTATTTGCGAAGCTTTCATTGCCCTACTAGGCAACGTCTTCTGCGCATACTTCAATTTGAATCAAAATTACCCACCCGACCTAAAAAATCTCCATTAGATGATACGGGGTTTTCAGAAACCGGTCTATGGCCAGTGGTGGGTTTTTCTTCTAAGTTTCAAAAAGGCTTTGTACTATGTTACCGACCGTCACTAATCCTGGACTCTTGGCATAGTACCTGCTCATCGCCAAATACTAATTTTATCTTCAAAGCACCTTTCAGACCATGGTATCTCATACATATATCTGTCGTCATGAGTCATGAACTGCTCATCTACCTACACAAACAACTAATTGTTGTTTACAGACTGTGGCAGCACCATATTGACTTTGAGAGTTTGTTGTATTGCTGTATTTGACCAAACTAGTGTACACGTATATCCTATTACTTCTTCGCGTTTATTATTGTGTCCTAACGTTGTGATTACTTGACATCCACAAAGTTAATCGAAAGGCACTTTAGAAGGAGTACGAACGTGTATTCTCGTATTAGTCAGAATTCAAAAGTTGAGCGAGTACAAAAGTATCAATTGTTAACACGCAAAATTGCAAAACACGCAAAAAATCTGAGACGAAACGATATATCCCCCAATTCACGCACGCTCAGAAGACACACCCAGAATCACATTGATGCCGTTCGATCCAGATTAGCTGAACTGGAACAAAACGTCTCAATGAGCTCCCACGTTCTTTATGATTTAACTGTTGATGAACGGGCGTCATTCGAACACTACGCCAATACAGTCTCAGAGAAGAGAAAGGAAAATATCATCATGAAACTTAAACAAAGCCTAAAATCAGTCACCAAGGAAACAGCTTTCCCATCTTGTCCCGAGAAATATGTATTCAATTTTTCGGATGTCTCACTTTCACCGATTCAAATGCAACTGTTGTCGCTCGGACCAAACTTTTGTGATGCATCATCAAAAGTAAATGAATTGAACACCAAAGTACAATTCGAGAATTTGATTAGTCAAACGAATGATCTAGTCCCAATTTCATATGAAAGTGCAGAACACTTCAAATCAACTGTTTTGAATTGCTGCCTCGACTACATCAACAAAAAACCTAGACTTCGCAATATGCTTTCAAAAGAACATCGAAAGCAACTCGAAGAATTGAAATCAAATGAAAACCTGATAATAACTCGACCAGACAAAGGCTCTGGAATTGTTCTGCTTAACAAGTCAGACTATGTGATGAATAAACTCTCATCAATTCTATCTGATGACAGCAAATTTCAAAAACAGACGACCCAAAAAGATCCAACTGAACAGACGGAGCTCCAGCTAACCAACTTATTGAAAAAAATGAAAGATGAATCGATTATCAATACAGAACTATATGAAAAACTTCGCCCATCTGGTTCTACATCGCCACGAATGTATGGACTACCCAAAGTACACAGGAAGGACGTCCCACTCCGCCCAATATTAGATATGATCAATTCGCCATATCACCTAACCGCGAAATGGCTGGTAGAAATTCTTGGACCAGTGAAAGAAAAGTTGTCTAGATACAACCTCCGCGACACATTCGACTTCGTGGATTCAATTAAAAATGTCAACCTCGCAAATAAAAAAGTGGTTTCCCTAGACGTCGTCTCTCTATTCACCAGTGTTCCTCTGACAGAAACTATATGCTTTCTGTGTGACTTCATCCAATGCAACAGCATAGATGTCGGCATACCGATGCATTATCTAAAGGAGCTGTTACTACGCTGCACCTTCAACGTCTACTTCAGATTCAACAATGAAATCTACAGGCAAACAGATGGCGTAGCAATGGGCTCTCCACTCGGACCACTCCTAGCCGACTGTTTTATGGCCAGCCTCGAAAACAACCCGTTATCATCAACTATCGACGGCCTTCATCTCTACAAGAGATACATTGATGATACTTTCATCATTTGTGATGAGAAGCTAGACCTTGAAAACCTACTTCAAATCTTCAACAACGCCCACCCAAACATCGACTTTACACTTGAAACCGAATCCGACGGAATGTTCCACTTCCTGGACGTCCATCTGACAAGAAATGACAACGACTCTTTGAAAAGGTCCATATACAAAAAGCCTACATGGACTGGACAATTCATCAACTTTCAAAGCTTCGTACCGCTAAGCAGAAAGAGGAACCAGATACACGCTCTTTCCTCGAGGATTCGGAAGATATGCAGCGAGGAAGTGATCGAAGAAGAACTGCGTAATCTCCGAAAAACCCTGATGGAAAACGGTTTCCTGCCCAGGTTCATAGACAAGAATCTCAAACCGAAGAAGACTTCAGAACAAGTCCAATCCGTCCCAAAGAAAATACTTCTGCTTAATCTAGAATTCAAAGGTGATATCGAAGCAGAAATCCTTCGCAAACGCCTCTCCAAATCGCTGAGGAAAACATACTTCGCCGAAAGCCTACGACTGACGTTTTCCTGCAAGAAACTGTTCAACCAGAACGCGAAAGACAAGCTGTCGCATTGGGCCACCTCAACATGCATATACCAGTTCACTTGCTCTTGTGGAGCTGAGTACATCGGCCGTACCATGCGCCAACTTGGAAAACGCGCTCGTGAACACTACCCAGCCTGGCTGGTAAAAGGAGAGCAAAAACGTGTAAACAGTTCAGTGACAGAACATCTGGTCAACTCAGGACATTCAGCGCCTTTCGAAAAGTCCTTCAAAGTAATATACAAGATTCAATCAAACCTACCAAAGGGAGTCAAATCAAGACATCTGGGCATAGCTGAGGCGCTAGCTATCCAAAAGCTCAAACCCACACTTTGTATCCAAAAGAATTACGTCCAACCCCTCTCCCTACCATGGCCATCATAAACAGGTAAATTTTTTTCAGTAATGACAA